CTCCCCTATCCGTATTTTAATACTCCTTAGGAAAGCTACTTCTTCTCCGTCGCTTACTTAGATTTATATATAAAATAGTAGGTAAACCCGGAGAACTCGCTAGTATCCCGTCTACTAGCCTTACTACCCACCAGCCTTACCGGCTGCCAGCCCCTCCGGCTACCGGCTATTAGCCTTACCACCCCCCCGGTAGTAGGTATCCTTCTTCGCTAGCTTCTTACGCTGCCCGACGGGCGTTCTCGCCTCTTACGCGGCGGCGGCTGATGGGCGGCGGCGGCTAGTAGGTAGTAAGGTAAGGCTGGTAGCCGGTAGCTAGTAGGGCTGGTAGCCGGTAAGGCTAGTAGGTGGTAAGGCTGGTAGGTGGTAAGGCTAGTAGCCGGTAGGTGGTAAGATACTACGGTAAGTAGTAAGACCGGTAGGTGGTAAGATAATACGGTAAGTAGTAAGACCGGTAGGTGGTAATATAGATATAGAATACTAGCGAGTTCTTCGAGTTTACCTACTATTTTATATATAAATCTAAGTAAGCGACGGAGAAGAAGTAGCTTTTCTAGAGAGAGGAAGGGTTAGGGTTAAATTTATAGCGGCCTTAAAGAAAAAAATTATATAAAAAATTATTTATTTATAGCTATATTATATAACGTTACGTAGATTACTAGATAACTTATAAAGTAAATCGTAGTATAATTAAGTTAATAAAATTATTCTTATCTAACGGGCGCTAGCTATATTTCTTAAAGACTTATTAATTATATTATCTTTTTACGCCTATCTAAACCTTTTATTTATACCTTATATTTTACGCCGAGTTACTTTTATAAATCGTAATTCTTCGATTATCTTACACTTATAACGTATGTTTATTAGGTTAGCCTTTAATATGACGAACTTCCAGCCACGAAACGGAATAAAGAAATAGTAGATAAGATAGAACTGGGTATTGTAAGAATCGTGGTAGTGTAGACTATAACAGTGTGGTATCTATCGAGCGAAACGACTACGCAATGAAGGAGAAAAGCACATGGGCAGATACCGAGAACATGCGCCTAAAGCAACAACAGTCTAACCAAGGGCGAAGCACAATATAGCGCCTGCACGATGACGACAAGATCGACCGAAACCAACCGCCTGCTGTCTTCAACGCGGAACCAATCACGTACCTCAGATTACCGTTTCGTCGAGAATGGTGGATGAGCCAGAGTGACTCGGGAGTTGCAGCCGATGCGGCATATGAGGGACAGCCGAAGGCGGTGGCGGGGGTTGGTACTATGCTGGCAATGCAAAGGCCAAGCCGTAGCAGCGCTGTCGATCGGAGCTCACAAAGTAGGGAGATCAGAACGAGGCCGATGAGACGTGACAGCCAGGATGGACGAGCGTGGACAACGGTGGCTCACAAGTACCGGAAGGGATGATGGTCCGTCGGGATTCCGCAGATTCGTCTGAATCGATGCTTAAGCCGTCGACCTGACCATTGTAATATAGATGAGCCAAGTTGACGGAGTCCATCACCTGCCCTCGTAGTCGCTAAGCGTCTGCTCCCACCCGCTGTTATCATCAAACATCTCACCGCCAGAACTCGCGTCAAAGCTGCTCCGTCCACTGATGGCATCATCCTCGACAAGATCGTCGTTGCTGCTTGCTGGCAATGATTCCCACTGGATGCCGGCGAGGGCGGGGTATTGCTGTAGCAGCGCTTGCGGAAGTCCAAAGGCCATGCCGCCACCCATGCCAGAATTGAAGCCGGCAGGTTGCTGTTGCTGGACGAACGGATTGAATTGCGAGCCCTGCGGGTGTTGGGGCATCATCATGCTCAGCCCTTGCGGCTGCGCTCCAAGAGGGTCGAGTTGGTCCATTGAGTGCGACGACTGTTGCTGCTGCGATGGGCTAGACATGGCTGGGACCTCCCAACCCTTCTCGGCCGCTTCTTCCTCGAGCAAAGGACGAATGCACACGCGACCTGCTTCACTCCTAAAGTGGCGGCCCAAAGCATCGGCGCGCGCGAAGCGGCGACCGCAACCCCAGCCGCTGGAATCTTTCAGGATGCCGCGGCAAACGAATTTCTTCTCACCACTATGCAAACCTTCGTGGCGCTTGCGGTCATGCTGGCGGGCAAAGGCCTTACCACAGACGCTGCACACAAAGGGCCGCTCGTCTGTATGCGTGCGGAGGTGGGAGCGCAAATTGTAAGCACGTGTGAAGCGCTTGGGGCACAGGCTACATTGGAAGGTTGCTGGATGCTTCTGGGTACGCTTCGAGCCGCCGGGGCTAGGGGTGACGAGCTGCTCGGGGATGGCGCCAGGGCTAGATGCAGCAGAAGTGGGGTTGTTTGGATTGGGGCGATTCGGATCAGCGAGCCCGAGCATATAGTCGCGATGGGGGATGCTCGACGTAGAAGACCGGCGCGAGGCGCGGTTCAGGCCATGCGGAGAGGTTGAGCGCGAAGTCGGAACCTTGGCAGCGTTGGGGTGCAGGGAGGAGGCCGGATCAGACGCGTTGCCGCTGGCGGGCGTCGATGCGCGCGTGCTGGCGCCGCTGAATGGGTCGGACCTGGCGCGCATGCGGTTGCGCGACAGGCTCCTATTCGGCGGGCTCAGCGCGTTCTCGGAACCCTCGGGCTTCGGAGGCTCAAAGCTCTGCTGCCTCGAAGGCGGGGCGAAATCGATGTTGATCTCGGGCGGCGACATTTGGTCCGACGCGCCGTACTCTTGGTTCAGTGCCGGAAACGGCTCCTGGCCGCTCCCAGGGAACATGTCCATACCCGACGGATTGCCTGGTTGGTTGCTCACCACAGGCATGAGGCCATAGTTATTGGACGCCGTGAACGGAGGCAAATTGTGCTGCTGAGGGGCAAGGCGAGGGGAGATGTGAGGGCTGTGTCCGGGCGTGATGCCGGCCTGGCTTGGATTGTCAGACAACGAAAATTGGCCAAAGTTCATGACCTCCTGGAACATGGAGTTATCTTGCTGCGCGCCGAGCAAAGGTGACGGGTTTTCGTGATCAAAGCTGTCATTGTTCCCTAGATACGGCGAAGGGTGATTCGACGACACATCCGAGTACGTGTCAGAAGGCGCCCGGCGGTGGCCTCTGAAGGCCATGCCGTTCCAATCGCCACCGTGTCCTTGACCGTACGCGGCGCTGGGGTCAAGCGACTGCTGCCTGGAATGGCCCGCCGAGAACCCGCCCTGATTTATGTTTGGAGAGGCGTGGGGACTGGCGCTGGCATGGCGCGATATGTCGGCCTGCAGGAGGTGGGGAGGGGTGGGGGAATGCGCGGTGGTGGACATTTGGTGACTCATGAGATTGGTAGGATCAATGGACTGCTCTTGAAGTTGCGGGTCGAGAAAGATTGACGGGTCGATGGACGAGCCCTGGTTGCCGGCGCCACCCGTGAGGAACTGGGCATCAAAGGCCTGGTTGTCTGCAGCGGGGTTGTTCTGGGCGAAGAGATCCTGGGAGTAGATGTTGCCGCCTTGGGGGCCGAACTGGGGGCTGGGGTGGTTGGAAGGCAGGCCTTGGGTGTGCAGGAAGGCACCGTTGGCGATGTCGGGCTGGCTGGCGAATTGCTGCTGGTGAGTGGGCGACAGGTAGCCCTGGCCGGTGTTGGACGAGTCGTAGGCGGACGCGAAGGCGCTGTTGTCGGGGGTCAGCGAGCTGGCATCGAGACCGAGACCGGCGATATTCTGGTAGCTCTGATGGGGCGACGGCGAGGCGTGCGGGCTTATATGAGGCTGATGGCCCTGCGAGGGCGAGCGGTCGCGGCGCGCGTTGTCCATGATGACGGTGTTTCTTTTCCTGGAGTCTCGCACGCGCTCAGACCATGGGCTTTGGGTGGAGGAGGCGGCTCTGGGGCGGCGGGAGCGGCGCTGCGCACAGCTGGACGCGAGCTTACGCGCGGCGGGGTGCGGAGGTGGTTCGCGGGCGGAGGGTGAGGATGGCCTTGCGACTCAGCCTGGGGGCGCAGCAGCTGCGGTGTTGGTGACTGGCGACGACACGATATAAGCGGTGGCTCAAGGCCGCTAGGGCAGGATGCACAAGCTTCGGGCCGCGGGGCACCCAAAATAGGAGCGAGAAGCGCGGTGCGGGCGGCGGGCGGCGGGCGGCGGGCTGCGGGCAAGAGGGCGGCGCGCGGTGCAGAGCAGAGGCAGCGCAGGCCAAGAGCAGAAGCAGAGAGCGTGGGACGGCGGCCGGTTGAGTCTTGGGCGTGGGGGCCGGAGCGTAAGATATGCGCGCTGTGGGCTGCAATTAAGCCGAGCGGAGGCCACCCAGCTGCTGGAGCGCTGCGGGAGCGCTGCGGGAGCGCTGCTGGGGCCGGAGCGAGGCAGGCGGCGCGCGCAAATCTCTAGGTGCCGTGGAGCCCGGCGGCCGCAGGTGATGATGGGACGTGGATGTTGTTGTGGTTCAGAGATAGTGTGCGTTGCGATAGGGACCGCAAGCCAGCGTCTGGCTCCGCCTCGCAAGAAGCGCACGGGACAGGCCGGGACGTTCACCTGGCACCTGGCACCTGGCACCTGGCACCTGGCACCTGGCGCCTTTCTCGCACTGCCACAGCGCAATAATTCGGCCAAGGCGCTCCCAAGGCTGACTCCCCAGGGTCTCTCCCGCCCCGCCCACTCACAGCGCGCCCGCCGCGAGCCCGCCACCGCGTTTCGGGCTATTCTTAGCACCACAGCCTGCGTCTACGCAATGCTCTGTCATTCCTGCGTCGTTTCAGCTTTGCTGCCCCGCGTCCGACACGTGCCTGCTACTCTGTCGCTACTCTGTCGCTACTCTATCACGCAAACTTCATTCCCTTGGATGGGTCCCACCGCGCGTCCGCCGCCTGCACCTGCTTGCCCTCCCCGCCCTGCGTTGCCCCGAAGCGAATGGGCATGTCCGGCGTCCACATGCCATTGGTAGGGCCCATGGCCACCGATGCTCGCGTCGGCGTCGGCGCCGGTATTGCCGGCTGGCCCGCGTGTGTCGGCGCTGGGTACGGCCGGCTCTCTTGATCCGCCTGCCGCTGCTCCTGCAGCGCATTGGCTTGCTGCAGGTGCAACGATGACATTGCCGTCGAGAGATCGCTGCCGAGTCAGTCGGGATTCCCCGTCGGGGGCGCTTGACTTACCTCTCGAGCTGCGTGGCCTCCGCCCTTCTCTGGTACGCAAAGGTCCGGCAGTCGTTCCTGAACTTCCCGCATATCTTGGCCAGGTCGTTGTAGAACTTCCGTCCCGTGTCAAGGTTCGAAATGATTTCCTTGTACTTGAAGTACGCGTTCTCCAGCTGCTGCAGTGCTTGCTCGCGCTGCCGAGTCGACGAATCTCCCCGCCGCGCCGTGACAAACGCCGCGTTCGCTTCCTCGAGGCGCTGCGTGATGGCCTGCTGCTCCTGATCTTCCTCGGTGACCATGTCGTCGTCGGCATCGTACTTGTGGAGACGCTGCTCGAAGAGATCCTCAAACTGTACCGCCTCAATGTTTTGCATCGGGTACTCCCGCTCGAGCCGAGAGGTTTCCTTGAGCAGGTCTGGGTCTGTTGACTGCAATCAGCCGACAATTGTTGCTGCGCCATCATCCAGCCAAGCTTACTGATATCGTCCTGCCTAGACTTTGCCCTCAGCGCCTCAATCTTGCGCTTCCTCCTGCTCTCCAGCCTGCTAACCTCGTTGAGGCAGCCCCTGAGATTTGTCGCCTCCCTTTCAACAGCTGCAGTCATCGTCACCCGTCGACTGCTCGGAACAAACTGCTCCAGATCATGGTCGGTACCGGAAAGGAGCCGGATGTGGCTTTCTTTTTCCTTGATCTTACCCTGAACTATTTGGTCGCTGTTGACCGCAGACTTTAGATAATCGCCGATCTCCTTGACTTGAACGTACAGTTTAGGTGCTGCGTCAGCCGAGGACGGGCGGTTCCAACGGTCCGTGCCGTACTTCTTCCTGGCCCGCTCGTCCTCCGCCGCCTCTTGATGAAGGATGTCAACACCTTCCTGGTATACCGCATTGTCTTGCTCTTTTAGTTTTGCCGTCTCATCTATGGAACGATAAAGGCGATCCAGGCCATCTTGTTGACGAATTTCCTCCGCATGTGAAACAAGTCCCGGGGGTAGCCCCAGGGGTTTCTCAAGCGCCTGGAGAGACCCCGGGAGATTCAAGCTCTTGAGCACCCTGGTATATTTGATCAGTTTCGGCCGACACGAGCTCTTGGGGTCTGGAAAACACACTCATGTATCCTCGCGGTGAGTCCTTCCAGCTCGTTGATGGTTTTGGCCACCAATTGATCTCGGCGGTCGGCATAGATACTGGCAGCGATGTGGACGGAGTACGGGACAAGTTTCGAGAACAGAGGTCTGCCAAGCTCCCCGTTCTCACCAAGCATTGACAAGGGATCTGATACTTCCTTTGGAGATTTGGCGGCCACCATTGTAGCTCTGTCCAATGTCTTCAGCTCAGGCTTTGGCGGAACGGGCTCTGCGCGATTGTCATGTCAGACACCAAAAGTGGCGGGTGCTTTGCTGTGGAACGTACGCAAGTAGATCATGTCATTGTCCTTCTCGGCTCGCTTCAAGTCTTCTGTAACCCGATTTTTCAGGCCACTCAGGTCTCCCAACACTGTACGGTTAATGTAGCGAGCCTCCCTTAGAGCCTCGTTGGCACAGGTCAGACTGTCTCTCAGCCGGGCAACCTCCTCGCCATATTTACGTTTCTCCAAACAGTCCCGAGCAGCCCTATATTGTGCGGCTGCAGCGAAGTGGTGGTGCTTGGCACTCATATGGTGGATCCACTCGCTGCTCACTGCATCCGACTTGATCCCCCAGTTGCTGGCATCCGAGTACAGGTCCGAGACCTTGGCGGCAAGCTTGGATATAGAGGCGTCTTTCAGCCCGTCCTTCACAGCCTTTTGCCAGAAGCACTCTTGCGCCTGAGCGAGCATCAGGTGTTCCAGACTCTCCAAAGTCATGGCGTCCATGTCTTCAGGCGGGCTCGAGCGCATGTCAGGCACGACGTGGACCTTGAGGTGTGACAGGACGCCGGCGGCGAGGCAGAAGTGGTTGCATGCCTGCTTGAGGCCGTCGGTCGTCGTCCTATTCGTCGAGGTAGCCAGCTGCGAATACATGGCGGCCAAGTTGAACAGCACATTGGCCAGCTCGAAGCGCACATTGTTCTCTAGCACTGTTCGCAGCAGGTCAGCCTGAGACGATGTGGCGCGTGAGCATGGCGGGCATACCGGGACGCTGAGTGTTGTAGCCTAGGGCAGGGAACCAGGAGAAGTCGACGCCTATCTGCAACAGCGCGAGCGCCTGTCAGCCACTCGTCGACGCTACATGACGGGCGAGACATACATCGACGGGAAATTTCCCGCCGATCCACACCAGCTGGGCGGCGTATGCCTGCAGCTTGCGTACGCCGCTGTGGTGGGGCTCGACGGCATGGATGGCACCGGAACGCAGGGCATCGATGGCCTCCAGGTCCTGGGTGAACATGTCTGGGTGCTGGTCATATTTGCTGGAGATATACTGCTTGATGGCGTCGGCGAGCGTGACCGAATGGGTGCGGCGGAAGGGCAGGTGGAGGATGTAGCTACTCGACGGCGTCAGTCCTGCTCAGGCGGCTCATGAAGCAGCTTACGCACGAGGCCATGGGTGCGGAACGGCGACCGGGACGAGGGCTTAAGGTGTGAAGGCGTGTTTGCAGCGAGCGGGCGGCAGCCCGAGAAGGCTCGCTTACAGTGACGTCTAGCCGGCCGAGCGCAGAGCCCGCTCTCCGATCAACCGCGCGCGGGGGCGGGCCACCAGCAGCGCTGCGACGTGAGCAAGTTTCATGCTGCTGATCATGCAGGCACCGCGCTGGCCTCTTCTGCTCGACTTTATTATCTCAGCACGCCATCCGCCGCCGCCTTTATAAGCACCCTCGCCCCTCGCCCCTCGCCAGCCGACCCAGCCAGCATCGGCCCTGACCCCACAGCTTCTCGTTTCTGCAGCCCCTACGCCTCCTCCACCATGTCCGACCACTCCTACAAATTCAACATCACCATGACCTGCGGCGGCTGCTCCGGCGCCGTCGACCGCGTGCTCAAGAAGCTTGATGGTTAGTTCCGCGCCGCCCACTTGCTTGTCCGCTCGCTCACCACCCCGCTTCTGTAGGCGTCAAGTCGCACACGGTCTCGCTCGACAGCCAGACCGCCGAGGTCACCGCCGCCGACTCGCTCGACTACGACACTGTTCTGAACACCATCAAGAAGACTGGCAAGAAAGTCAACAGTGGGGAGGCCGACGGCCAGACCATGGCTGTATGATCGCTTAGCCCGGGGGGGTTTTTGTTTGGTTTGCAGAGCACATCGGCGTAGTTGGCGGTTTCGCGATATCCAGAGCAGCTTAACATAGCGTGCTTATCTCCATCATCACTTCATTTGGGAAGGTCTCTGGTGTTCGTGAGTCGATTTGCACCGGCGCATAGTGAATGGCCATGTTTCTTTCGGCTGCTGGAAGCGGCTGCAGATCTCAGACCGTGAAGGATCTGAGCCAGCAGTTAACCAGGCATGCGGAAGATCTCCCGACGGCCGGACCCTTGATCAGCTTTCGTCTTGGGTCCACCAGGCCCTTGGCATGGCTCAGTTCGTAAACACCACCGTTCAACCAGTGATCAATAAGTAGAGCGCATTACTCTCGCCTTTTCGTCATGAACCAACCGCCCCCCTACCGAGCTTTCACTGTGACGGAGTTTGACAGAGACGGCGGCATTTACTCTGCACCACCCTCCCGGGAGAGGGGTTTAAATGACGTCGCTTGATTTGCTAATCCAATACCGAGCCAAGACGGTAGGTTCTATTCGCATGTGTCCTGCTCGTGCGACTGGACGTAAACGACTCGGATGTATGTGGGCAGACTTGAACACGCGACCTTCATGGAGAATACATCCCGGTCAAGGTGCATCACAGTTCAACCGTGCCAAATGACTATCTTGGTCTGCTTGGGAATGTGGAGAGCCAATTTCGTTGCGTAAAAAGCACAACATAGTGACAACCCAAGGGTTAATGAGACCGTAGTTTTGGTATCTAACGAAAGAAGAGGACTGGACGCGACCCCCCTTCCACTTTATATAGCCTCAGGCCTGTCCAGCAAAGGACGTCATTCGGTGTTACCACATGTGATGAGACTACTGCACATAGTGAGGTCATAGATGCAAACGCGTATGCTTCAACCCATGTGGTGCTATTTATAAACGATCGTGGGAATTGCGTTGGTTGGAATGCTCAGTTTGCCAGACGCCCTTAATTCGCCCAACACGAATGGCCTTTGTAGCTGTCTTGAGCGAACCTCTGGCGCTCCCGTGATGCTCTGTTTCGCCAACCCGAGGAATGCGTGAATCATTTCCCCTTCGGAATGCGTAGGGGCTGATGTGGGCAAGAGGCCCCTCAAAATACAAAGATCACACCAGAGTGCTTAGCGGTTGATAGAAGGTTGCATCTCAGCTGACATAACAAGATAATTAACTGCTTAATAGTGACTCAACACTCCCCAAAAAAACATTACAGGTTGCCAGATCATAGGCGTTGTCGCACGGATAACTAGCCTGGAATCTCATCGATGCTTTTGACGTTGATCTCCTTTCTCCCGTTCATTTTGCGGCGAAGGCTGCTACTGGCAGGATACACTGGAGGGTACCAGTCAGTTCATGTTTTTGGTGGATCTGCTCAAGAAAACCTACCAACTCTTCTAAGGCGATTCGGACTGCCCAGGGGCTGCAGACCAACCAAGCCGTGCCATGGATCAACACGCATGTGGTCCTCCCAGAATGCCTTGCGCTCGTAATCAAAGCTGTCTTGCTTCGGAATGACCAGCTTCGCAACGGTCTGCCAGGGGTACTTGCCCGAGTCCCAAACTTTCCCTGCATACTCAACTGGCTGATCATCTAGGTTCTCGCACAGCTGCACCTGGAAGAGATATTCGGCATCGTGCTCCTTGTGGAAAGCCTGCAACCAGCGATGCAAGACATCCGAGCCGTCGGCGGGCTTGACGGTTTCTTCGTAGAGTGTGCGCTGTGTATCACTCGACGGAACCAGGCAATACTTGATCACAAAATCCCCGAAACGATATGCGGTCTGCGAGTACTGGCGGGTGCTCTCGAGGTGCGTATTGCGGACGGCATCACGGCCTTTCTGCAGATCGGTGTCTTTGCGTGCCTCGAGGTGCTTGTATAGCTCTGACTGGTCATTTCCGTATTTGATGCGCAGATTGATGATGTCACGGGTAGTTTTGGCGTCGGCTAGGTCTAGGACTGGAGTGCTGTTGAATTCAATGTCTTGGGTGGGATAGGCGGCGCCTTCATCAAACATCTTGCCGTGCACGTTGAACAGCTTGATTGCAAAGCCACGCGGCTGCGCGATGCGGTCCTGTTCCCCGAACGCGTCAATGTCGAACAAGCGCCTGGCAAAGGGCGCTCACATCCAAGCCCGGGTCGCCCGGCTCTGTGCTGTAGCGACACACAGCGGGATACTCGCCTCCCGTCGCAAAGAGCTCGGTCTGCTTGAGGTGCTGGGGCAAATCGTCGGGGACGAGGAATTTGCCCTTGACCACGCCGTGGGTGCGGGCATGCGTGCCGCCGAAACAATGACGGGCCTTGTTCCAGTGAGCGCGTTGGATCTCATTGATCATGTCGGCAACAGCCTGGATGTCTTCAGCCTCATTGGGCGGGACTTTCTCAACGCCCTTGGCATCCCAGCGGATGTACTTCCTGCCGGCGAGGTCCTCGGGGTGGGCGGATTGGCCGTTGGTCGCCATGACGGCGTGCAGCACAGGTCGGGTTGAAGCCGGAGTGAGACGCGCGAGGTAATCACAGGCCAGTCCACGGCAGCAGACGGGGAGCGCATTTAAGCCGGCACGACGGCAGGGCGGCGGCGGCGAGGCCGCGCCACGACTTGCGGGGTGGTGAGCATGGCCTGGGTGGGTTACCGGTAGTCTACCCCGCCAGCGGCAGGGCGGTGGTGAGGGCGGCGGGGCCGCAGATCCGATGGTTCCAAATGGATGAGGGCGGGGGCGGAGCGGCGGGCTGGCATTGTGGTTGTGGGTTGTCGGCAACCGTAGGAGCGAGCTGTTGTGGCTGCGGGCCGGGATTGGCGCTGCAAGGGCTCCCTCCGCCAGTGCAACTGGACACGACGACTGGTCCCAGACAATGTACGTCGTCGGCCTTGGGCGCAGCAGCCGCAACACCTCCGTCACCCAGCTGATGGCCAACATGTCTCCCACCCACGAGACTGCCCCGCCGCTGCCCATCCCCGGTGCGTCGCGCGCCCCCTGCCCTCAGTCCCCCAAGCTCCCCAGCCGCGCCTCCACTCCCGAGTCCTCGCTGACGCCCGCTGCCAGCCCCGGTCTCTCCCCAGGCCAAGAAGAAGAAGAACAAGAAGAAGAACCCTCGCCCGCCGCAATCGCAAGACCCGCCCACCAATGGCCACCCCGCCGCCGACCCGCCCCCCGACGACCCCAGCCGCGACGATGACGGCGACGCCGCCGTGCGCGCCCACGCCCCTGTCTGCCACCTGCGCCAGCTCGCTAATTGCTTCCAGAAGGCCAGCACGAACGACGACCCTGACAGCCGGCCCTCGACCGCCCAGTCCGACTCGCAGACGCCGCAGCGCAACGGCGCCCGCTCGCACTCGCCCAAGATGGACAGCGACACCTCCGACCGCCTCGACCAGCTGGCCAAGGAGCGCGACGAGCTGCGCGAGGAGGTCACCCAGCTGCGCAAGTCGCTCGAGACCATCCAGAGCAGGCATGAGGACGAGACCCAGGACCTGAAGCAGCACGCCGCCGACGCCGCCAAGAGCAAGGAGCATGCCGAGAACCAGTACCGTGACCTCCGCGGCAAGGTCAACACCATCAAGAGTCAGCTGGGCGAGCGCATGCGCCAGGACGCCGAGGAGCTCGACCGCATGCGTACCCAGGTCGATGATCTTGAGGACCAGAACCGCCAACTCCGCCATGACAACGAGCAGCTGCGCAAGCAGACCGAAGAGCACGCCTCCGAGATCTCCAGCCTGCGGAGCCGCGCCACTTTGTCGCAGCAAAATTGGGTGAAAGAAAGGGACGAGCTGATACAGCGTGAAGCATATGCCAGGGAGGAATTCGAGACGGCGAAACAGGCCATGCAGGACTGGGAGGTGCTGGCCATGGAGGAGAGGTCGCTGCGCGAGAACCTGAGCGACCGGGTGGCCGAACTCGAGGACCAGCTCAACAGTCAGCGCGAGACGTTGGAACGAGCAGTCAACGAGAGAGACACCCAGACGTCAACCGTCGACGGCCTGCAAAGGGCGTTGCGAGACATCCAAGACGGTGAGCCGCCGATCTCACCTCACAAGTTTCTTCGTTCAAACTAACCTCGTACGCAGCACGCAAGAAGGAGCTCCGGGAGATTGTTGAAAACTCTCAGAACCAGCTCGAGGACCTCCGAAAACAGCTTCAATCTGCCGAGAACACATCAAGAAAAGCGCAGACTGAGCTGGAAGCCTCACAGAAAGAGCTCGAGCGTGCCCTACCGTTTGAGAAGGAGGTCAAAGAGAAAAATCTACTCATAGGAAAGCTCCGTCATGAAGCCGTGATCCTCAATGACCATTTGACAAAAGCTCTGCGCATCCTACGAAAAGGTCGACCCGAGGACAACGTGGATAGGCAGATTGTCACGAATCATCTGCTCCACTTCCTGGCGCTCGACCGTAGCGACCCTAAGAAGTTCCAAGTCCTGCAACTCATTGCCGCGCTTCTTGGATGGAACGATGGTAAGCACATGATCGAGCTGCTTAGAAACACACCTGTGTTGAAGTGAACGAGCTCGTTGACCGTTGCATACAGAACAACGCGAACAAGCCGGCCTCTCACGCCCCGGCTCCACCGCCACTGCAAACAACAGCCTTCGGGTTCCCTTATCTCCGTTCCATCGCACGCCGTCCACACCCTCACTATCAAGCACCGATCTTCTGTTATCAGAGGGCCACTCATCATCTTCTGCCCAGCAGAACAAAGAGAGCCTGGCTGAGCTATGGCAGAGTTTCCTCGAGCAGGAGGCCCTTGAAGGCAAGGGCTCAAGGAATTCCAGTCGTCGAGAGAGTGCAGCAAGTCCAACGAATACGAGTGATACGAAAGGCTTAGGTATCTTGTAGACTGGAGTTAAAGTAGACATTCGGGACCTTGTGACAGACAAGGCAGAGCACATTGGCAGTCGAAGCGTTGGTATGACGTGAATGTATGATAGTTCCAAGAGCAATAATGTTCACACCGCGGCCCCCGCTCCTTCGAGGTGCAGCAATTTACTGTGTCCCTATCCGACACTGCTCGACGCAAAGCTCTGGATCAGCCTGAGCTTTGGCTTGCGTCCGCCGACCATTCGCAGTTCCAGAACCGCAATGCACTTCAGTAATGAATCCCCATCCCACGCGTTCATCTCCTCTTCCACGTCTTGGAAATCGAAGAATCTCTCGACCCGATCACGGCCTATTAGATGGTCTCCTCCACCGCCCACGGGGGCAGGCGTGAACGATGCACTGCAATTCCCTCGACTAAAGTCCGTGTTCGTGCTACAGACACCACTTCGAAGCCGAGCAACGCTGTGGGAAGATTCCGCATCTACAACCAAGCCATCATGGATGGAAGATGACGAGGTCGTGGGAAACAACGCGGATGAAGCGCGGAGCGTGATGTTACCATGTGCATGGCGGCCGGCGCGCGCAATGTGCACGACGAACGGCTTGGTGGAAGTATAATTAGAAGTGCTGCCCCCCACTCTAAGGCGTTTATCGTACGGGCCCTCTCGGGCGGCGAGGGTGAGGTTTAGACTATCCTGGCGGGGAAAAAGATTCACATTTAGCTAAGTTCAGAACGAGACTGCGACGATGCATGACTTACTGCGAGATTACACCATGTCTGCAACGCACTGTCACTCATGAATCTCTCCCAGTACAGCCCCGGGTGGGAGTTGCTCCAGTATGCATCCATACGCTCCCAGGATTTGGCTGTCGTGTGCGTCCAGTAATACTCGAACAAGTCTTCTTCCACCAATGCAACGAGCTCTGTAGGCAGCATTCTACCCGCCGTTTTTCGAGCCAGGGTGCGGGCGAACATACGTTTCTCAAGACGTATGACACCCAGCACGAAACTGCGCTCCGTGGCCGTGACGCTGAATATGGGATTGGTTTCGACGACGAGCATGTCTTTCTAAAGATACGAAAATCGGGACGGAGCAGACCTGTAAAAGCTGGGCGGGAACCGTTGTGCGGCCATGGACGACAGCAATTGAGAAGACATCGTGATGGTAGGCCCGCAAATTAAAACGATTGTTGCTGCCTGGACTCGGTTGTGCATCGCTGTGGGCGAGCAGGCAACAATAACACTTGAGCATGACCTCTTTAGGTGTAAGGATGGACAGCGGCTTTGCTTGCGTCATAGTGGTCAAAGCAGTGGCTTCTAAGCCCAAAGCTGTATGGTACAAGGCCGACTTTTGTCGATAAAGGCCCCAGCTACTACGCCGCAACGGCAGCAATGCCATGTTAATCTGATGTGTAGACGCATGGGATAGACATATCCGTGCCATCAGGTATGGACGTAAGTGCCACATGCATCACGACGAATCAGGGCTAGAGTGTCGTGCTCGGGCTTCCAACAGAAACGAGCTACAACATGGGTTCAACAGCTGTGTGGTCCATGCCAGCGGTGGCGGAGCAAGGCGCTCTTGGCCGGACTCAGCTGTTCACTTGCTTACGCGCCGGTTGCTAAGCGCCGGCATCCACCATTGCGGCACGGCAACCAAAAACTCAAGCTCTAGTGGAAAGAATGGTTATCTTCTGAGCCGCACCGGCTGTGCCGTAAATTATGCAGACGCGCGCACCCGCAAGCCATCCGCATGGGACGAGGCGATGCAAATGGGCGCCGTACATTCGACAAACGCATCCTTGACGGCTTGTCATCCCCTGTCTGCACAGAAGTCCTCCGTCCATGCCTGGTATCGTGGTGGCGATGCGCGACAGCTCGGTGAGTGCTCGTAAGGGTTTATAAGTGTACACACAGTGGCACACCCCAAGACCAAGTCCCAAGTGTTCCTCTTCACCAACCGAGATCAAAACTTTCCAGCCATGAGCTCCAAGTCAGTCCAAAGCAGCGAAGTCGTTGTCGGTAAGATACTGTGGTTGCCGCCGTTTGACAATTTGCCAGCCGGCTCCATAGATCCAGTCGGACAGACGCCTGCCATTCTCAAAGACGCCTTTGACCATCCGGTGGTCATCTGTTCAAGACCAGCCAGCTGGGACGGTGAATACGTCCATTTTCACATAGTAAGCTCTATCATCCTGCCCGGTTTGCATATGCTGATTGAGCAAAGGTTACCTCGTTCCGTAACAAGAGCCTGACGCAGAGATTCGATATCGAAGTCCCTCGGCAGCGGCGCCAAGTCAACTGGTATCTGCCAATAGCACCGTCCGAGTACCACCGCGAGGATTCTGCGCCTCGGTTTGGACGTCCACGTGTTGAGCTAGCAGACGGGATGGCGATGCCGTCAAATTCCTTCATAAATGCGAAGGACATCTACTCGATTCAGTGGCGTCTCCTCGAACGATTCCAGTGGAGCGGATCCCACCGGTTGACTGCATCTTCCGTCGAACACATGCACGAGCGCACCGGTCGCCTAGTAACGTACAAATTGGACGTTCAACACCATCAGCCGACTGTTGAGGAATCCAATGAATCGCCATCGCCACCTCTTAGACCTGGCCGCGTACTTGGTCCTAACGTCCCACCAATGAAGACCCTGCCTCCCATAGGACAATGGACCAGAGTCGACGTGGTGAGTCCATTTAAGCTTGCAGGAGGAAGAACCGCCGTCATTTTTGTCGGCACAATTACGTCTGGCACGAGCGAACACAGCCAAGCACTGTGTATTGTTCCCGAGCGGAATACCCAAGCGATCGCGGAGCCACAAGGCACTTGTTCGGGTGCCTTGAAAGCTGTCCTCGGAACTTTTGGGCGATTGATACGAGATGCAGTAAGCTGGCTATGGCGAAGTTGTCGACGAAGAAAGATAGAAAGGGACGGTGTGGTTTGAAGTTTGACTCGCACCTCTTTGAGATCCTGTTGGCCTCTTCCTCTCTTCAGTTTTCTTCTTCTCAATTGAATCTCTCTAGGCACTTGCGTTGTGGAGTATCCAAATAACTGCTTTCTCGGCGGGATGGGCCAGGCCGATCACCGTAGCTTCTGCTTCTGGCGACAGAAAATCCTTCTTTTTGTACGTGTCTTGAATCGCCTGTATATATTGAGATCTGGCTTCCGTGGAGGTCAGTGTTGGGTCAGCAATCACGGTCCTTAGGAAAGTCCAGAGCGACTCGTGTTTCCAATGAAAACCTTGGGCCAGGCCAAATGTCCTGTCTATAATCTGCTGAGCAAGCCGAGCAGGCTTTGGGGTGCGGAGAAGAAGAAAATATAGAAATGACCAGGCTGACGTGTCACTTGGGTTACGCAGGCACCACTCGTACACGACTGGTACCGACTGCTGCAAGAAATCGTGACCTGGAGCTGTCAGAGAAGAGCTGATAAGAGGCGGCGGTCGCAGTAATGACAGCTGGCGCTGGTAGATGCTTTGCAACTCTGGGACGCGATCGAAAAGACGTCGAGCATACTGCCAGGCGTAGTAGTTTTTGGGGTGCCGTTCGGCCGCCTTTAGCACCACGCCCAGCTCGCGGGCAAATTGTTCCCAAGACAGTAGAGACGTTGCATCCTGACCAGGCGCGCGGCTCAGCCAAAGTTGGGGATCGAAAGATTGCACAATCCAGGCCCGGTAGCCCCACAGGGTAGGGGATTTGGATTGCCGATGCAAGGGAGAAGTAAGAATGCTGTCCAGGAAATTCAGCTCCAGTTGCACAGAATGCGCAGGGGCCAGGGAGTCGTTGTGGAGCGAGCGGAGGACGTTGAGCTGGGCTTTCCTGAAGTTTGCAGCCGTGAGGTGTTCCGGGTCGAAGAGCAGAATGACAGACGTCGCATCGAGAGCAGCCTGCACCGAGATAGGGTCGCTACATACTCGCTTGTCGAAGAAGACGGAGCGGGCAGCAATGAAGGCGGCGGCAAGGAAGCGCTTGGGTACGCCCAGGCAGATGCCATCTTCCAGGACAGGCGAGCCACTCGGGGGCGCTAAGGCGGGCGGCAGCACCTCGATCTCAACAACATCCTGGCGGTGCTTCTGGAGAAAGTCGCTGATGACGCGGTAGGCCAGGGCATGGTCTGGACACAGAGGATGCGGCCCGTAGGTGGTTGCGGCCATGGTGACGGAAGGCGCGGAGGTGTGGGCGGTGGGCGGCGGGCGACGGGCGACGGGCGACGGCTGATGTCAGAGCGGGCTGGTCCGAGCGCAGCCCGAAGCCAAACACCACCAGCTCCCCGTACATGCCTCTCGCTGCGAGCCAACACCTCTGCCCGCACCCATGGCCTCCCTCCTGCTGATCGTCTTCGCCGTCAGCCTCGTCACCCATCTCGCTAGCGCCGTTCCCGCAGCGACCCTCAACGAGCTGGTGCGCTTGCTCTCTGCCATCTGCCTGACTTAGTATCGCTGACCCCGCCCGTTTCCCAGCTATGGATTCTGTACAACAAGCTCCCTACGCCAACAAGTAAGGCTGCGCGAGAGCATGATAAGCTGAAGCGCGAAGTGCTGCGCCTGAAAAAGGAAATGAACGGCGTCAGCGCCCAGGACGACTTCGCCAGGTGGGCAAAGCTGCGCCGCGCTCACGACAAGGCCTTCGCCGACTTCCAGAAAAACGGTAAATATTGTGCAGCTATCCTCGCACCCTTGCCCAAGCTGATCTTGTTGTTTCACCCGCTAGAATCTGCTCTGCGCTCCACCCGCACGTCGTTTGACACGACTGTCGCCTCCGTTCGATGGCTCGCCACAAACGGCCTTCGATTCTTCCTGCAGCTGTGGTATGCGAAACAGGCTCTTTTCTGGATACCGGAAGGCTGGGTCCCTGGATACGTTGAGTGGATCCTGGCTTTCCCAAAGGCACCGACGGGCAGCGTAAGCGTCCAGATCTGGGGCATTGCTTGCACGAGCGTTATTTCGCTCCTGAGCGAGGCCCTGGTCGCGCTGTATGCACTGGTCGTGGGGACGGCATCGAGCAAGGGGGGCGTGAAGCAGCGGCCAACTCCAGCTACCGGGGGCGAGAGCAAGGAGCTGTGATTGGGAGAGGTGGAATTGGGAAAGTAGAACTCAAGGCGTCGAGATAGCCCGTTTCTCGAAGCTGCTGTCCGCTAGGTTGAAGGCTATTGTTTCTTCGACAATGCAGCGGGCTGCTCGGTTCCAGGCGTGCCGCATATGCAATCATCCCGCTTCTTCGCCCATGACGAATAGCACACTCCGAAGCCTAGCAACAGTCTTTGTGCTAGCACACTCGGATGATTATGATAACCAGGCCAGCAGTGACGCGCTGCTCAAAAGCCAAGAGAGCCGTCTCCGCTTCAAATACTCCGAGCGCGACGCGGAAGCACTTGGGTGTAGGTTCATTTCAGCATGTCTCTCATCAAATAGACGCAACATCTTCCTCGCCACGAGGGCTCAGAAACTGCAACACGAAGTGAGAAGAAACCCCCATTGGAGGCAGGTCTCTGGCTTTGCTTTTGGCGGTCTTTTTGAACTCGTGATCGTAGGGAGATCAAGATCGCCGAGTCTTCGAAAGCGCCGTTTTTGTCGCTACTGTGCTCCTCTTGAGCCGTGACTAATTTCCTTGTCGTAACCAATAGTGCGGAGGGAAAGACTTGCTACCGTGTACATGCGTGTCATGAAGCAGTACTGCGTGGGCGAAGTCGCAACCCGAGGACTGAGAAGAAAGTCATTGTCGAAATTCGGAGAGTGGTGGCGAGAGAATTTTGTCTTCTCGAGGTCAGTGCGCTCGGAGTGGGCCGGCCCTTGTTAATCACGTGACATGGCATGTCGAACGCGTCCGTCCGCAAATCACGTCCCAACGGATGACTTCAACTCTGTTTGGCCACATGGTTTGCCTAGGTGCTGTCTGGGCAGAGCAGGGCTTTCTTATCGCACGCTTTCGTCTCTGACCGATCTCATTATCGCAATACTAAACCGTTCGCATCGGCTTCGAACTATTGCCATTTCGTCATCATAGTTTGGAAGGATGTTTTTTTCGTAAAGACTTGAATTGCATCCCAGGATCATGGTATATACAGAACTCCGGATTTTCCCTTAAAATTGCGACCAGAAAAAGGAAATAAAGAAAGGTTCATGACAACCCCGGCGCTTCCCTTTTTCATCTCTTCACTCCTAAGCATGCACTTAGAACCAATCGCCCTGGTCCCTCATGGCGGCCGCGACCTTGGCGAACCCAGCAATGTTGGCACCAGCAACCAGACTAGGGTACTCGCCCTCAGCAGCCGGGACGTAAGCCTTGGCCGTCTCAAGGCAGTTCTCGAAGCAGTTCTTCATAATGAGCTTGAGCCTGTCGTCGACCTCCTCAGAAGTCCAGCTAATGCGCTGCGAGTTCTGGGCCATCTCCAGGCCGGACACGGCGACACCACCAGCGTTGGCGGCCTTGCCGGGAGCGTACCAAATAGCGGCGTTGGTGTTGGCCTTGCGGTGAGCCTCGAAGGCGTCAATGGCGTCCTGGGTGCAGCCCATGTTGGAGCCCTCGGCGATGAACTTGCAGCCAGCGTCGATGAGCGCCTTTGCCTCGTCGCCCGAGACTTCGTTCTGAGTAGCACTAGGGAGGGCAACGTCGACCTTACCAACGTGGACCCACGGGCGGGCACCCTCGATGTACTGGTACTTGGGGTCCGAGAACTCCGTCAGGGCCTTGCGGTTGAGCTTGATGTTGGCGATGGTCTCGATGACATCGGAAGTGAAGCCAGCAGCATCGGTGGCAATCAGAGCACCCTTGGAGTCGGAAAGAGACACAACAGTGCCGCCGAGCTCGATGACCTTCAGTGCCGCGTACTGAGCAACGTTACCAGAGCCAGAGAGGGCGACGCGCTTGCCCTTGAACGACTCCTTGCCACCAGAAGCGTACTTGATCATGTGCTCGACGTAGTAGACGAGACCGTAGCCAGTGGCCTCAGGGCGGATGAGCGAACCACCCCAAGAGCCGCCCTTCCCGGTAAGGACACCCTCCCACCTGTTGCGGGCCTGGCGGTAAGCACCGAACATGTAGCCAACCTCGCGGCCACCGACACCAATGTCGCCGGCGGGGACGTCGGTGTCGCCGCCAATGTGCTTGCTCAGCTCGCGCATGAAGGACTGGCAGAACCTGCGGATCTCGCTGTCCGACTTGCCCTTGGGATCGAAGTCGGAGCCACCCTTGCCGCCACCCATGTTGACTATAGGTAACGCATTAGCTTTGTCACCTCAACACCGCGGTTTTGGAGAAACTTACGGCCAGTCAGAGCATTCTTGAAGATCTGCTCGAAACCAAGGAACTTGAGGATGGAGAGGTTGACGGTGGGGTGGAAGCGGAGACCGCCCTTGTAGGGACCCAGAGCAGAGTTGAACTGGACGCGGAAACCGCGGTTGACCTGCAGCTGGCCCTTGTCATCCTCCCAGACGACACGAAACTGGATGATGCGCTCCGGGATGGCGGCGACCTTGAGGGCGGTCTTGTACTCCGGGTGCTTCTCAAAAAGGGAAGAGTTGTCGAGGGTCGAGGCAAGCTCTAGATAAAAGGAAAGGTCAGCGGCAGAACGGCAGATGAGGCATGATGCAACGCACCGTGGTAGGCTTGCTCGAACTCGGGCTCGTGAGGGAGGTTGGACATTTTGGCGGTGTTTGGCGGGAGTTGCAGAAGCCGGCAGTGGAAGAGGACAGAGGATAGGGTCAGAAACAGTCAACGACGGAGCTCCCGCAGATTATTTATGAACAGCAGAAGCTGGGGCTCGGGACGAAAAGGAAGCACAGCAGCTCGCGCGGGCGGGACGTCACAGGGCGCACCCAGGCGCGGCGAGGCGAGGCGTGGGAGAGTGCGATAGAGGCCGTCGAGGCAGCGGCAGCCCGGCGCGCGCGGGCTGCCATTGGCCAGGACGGAAGCTTCCTGATGACGGGCCCGATCAGAGCCGCGAGATCAGATGCGGGACGACGGGGGCCGTCTGCGAGCTGGAGTACCGCCAGGGCGACGGAGGTGCAGATAAGCTGCGCGGCTGCGATTGGCCGTGCAGATTTACGGCTCTCATTTTGGCCCGTCATCGGCCAGCGTGCCTGTGCTGCTGGGCGGTTCTGGGAATCGGCGGTTACGTTACAGTTTGCTGCGCAGTTGAGGCGCGCCGGGCTAGGGCGGACGGCGAGCCAGATGCGCCAGTGAAGCTCCGGCCCGAACGCGGCGGGCTGCAGCGCTGCTCCACCGCGCACGCTGCTGCAAGTCAGGCTTGATCAACACACCCCGCCCGCGCCGGCGCCGAGCATCACGCGAGCTCATTGCAAATTCTGCGGCACGCTTGGGTTTCCGCGCTGTCATACATATGTGCCCGCCTCGCTTCTCCGTGGGCGCCCGCGGCCCACCCCACCGCAGACCCTGCCAGTCGCCCCGGACCTCCGGTAACGGCAGCCCAGCCCAGCCGGCTACAGCCACTCGGGAAAGAATCGCCCATGCCGCACCACCCTCTCTTAAGAGACCTCCTCCCCGCCTCGCGACTTCGGCGCTCCAGCACCTACGCGCAGTCCGTCGGGTCCCAATCTGCACTCGTCAGCGTATTACGCGACACACTCCTGGCGTGGGCGGCGGCCGCCGCGCTGCGCCTTCTCAACAACACCCAGCGTCCGCTGCGGAGCACGAAGATTGCCCGGAGGAGGACGTGGGGAACCATGCCGTCGCGCCTAGCGCCGGCTGGTGGCATCACTCACCAGTCACCAGGTACTCGTCCAGGCCGTCCAGCTTCTCCATGTCTTCCCCTCCGATCTCGAACTTCTCGACCTTGGCATTCTCGACGATGCGCTCCTTCTTGACGCTCTTTGGCAAAGGCACGTAGCCATGTTGCAGGCTCCAGCGTACAAGCAGCTGCGCCGGCGTGCACGCGTATTTCTTTGACAACGATACTACCATGGGGTGCTTCATCCGGAGTGCGCGTGCCAGCGGCGCGTATGCCTCGACCACGATGTTGTTTTGCTGGCAGAACGTCGTGATGTCGGTGCGCGTGTTGAACGGGTGCACCTCGATTTGGTTCACAGCGGGGTGGACACGGGGCTTGGAGTCAAGCAGTTCCTGCAGGTGTTTGACACCGTAGTTGCTCACACCCCCAGTCCTGATGTCGCCGTCGGCAATCGCGTCCTCCACAGCTCGCCAGCAATCGAGCCGTGCCTGCCTGCCACCGTATGGGCTGTGCAGCAGAAACAGATCGATATAACCCAGATCGCATGCCTCAAGAGACTGCTTAATTGCCCGCCTGGCTGCGTCGTACGAGGTGTTTGACGCGAGCTTGCTGGTAAAGTGAATGTCTTCTCGCTTGAGCCCCTCGCTGTTGGCCGGGCTTGCGAGAAAGTGGTTGATGGCCTGTCCTACCTCGCGCTCATTGTGATACATCTGCGCGGAATCGATGCTGGGGATTTCATCGTCGGTCGGCTGGAGTGAAACGCAGGCAGGGACATGCCAGAGACTTACGCGCGATATCCGGCCTGTACCTGTCAGCAGCGAGCTCCATGGGACTTGAGGTTTCTCAGGGCAGTGATTGGGTAGCAGGGGTAAAGCCGGAGCTAGCATGCGAACTAGCCAGCTACCGCTCGCCAGGTTCTCGTCCGCACCCCATCGAGGCAATACGCATGCGCCGTCGCGGGCCGACGCGCTGGGAGAACGCATTGCTAACCGCTGGCCGGGTCGAAGGCAGAAGAAGCGTGACGGGACAGCCGAGGAAATGGGACGCCCGTACCTCCAGGGCCCACAGGACGGCCTGATAACACTCACGGCCGTCGGTGAGGTAAACTCCAAGATGGATCTGCGGCATGGACCGGCCATTGGCAAGCTGGACACGGCCGGTGGTCAGCCAAGCTGGGGCACGATTGGGGCGCGGGGCGACATGCCTTGAGGCGCGAGCTCAGCGAGAGGACGTGCTGAGCCATGGCGACGGGACGATGTAGGGTGAGATTTCGGCTCAGGGAGATTGGCGAGCAGATGTCTTGGAGCGGGAAGCACTCGGAATAAGGTTGGTGTCGTGGTACAGAGGGCTGCGGGTACGATGGAAGAGAGGCGGGCAGCCAAGCACCTCGGGATGACGCACTTTGGCTCCCGTCGTCCAGCTCGGCGGGATGTGCGCACGGCCTCGACCGGGGGTCGTGGGCCGTGGCGGCTGCGGGCGCCGCTCTGGCGGTCGTCAGCGCATCTCAGCTCGCTGCGGGCTGAGATCTTGCAGATGCAGGACGATGCAGGACGATGCGGCCGCCACGGCTGCCGGATGAGGCAACACTGCGGCGTCGACGCAGCGCGTGGGTGCGGCTGAGAGCAGCAGGGCAATTCGGCAGGCGGCGCGGCGGCGCCTGCATTGGTTTGCGCGCGCAATGCTGGCTGGCCGTCGACGCGCGCAAAAGGAATGTGCAGCGGGGGAGGTCGTGGTGGAGCGCTCTAGCCTCCGCCCTGCACAACACCACGCGCCCTGGGAACGTGTTCTTGCAGCCACATTCCGCCTGGCGAGCGGGCGCTTGTTCCTCGCAGGCACCTGGGCTGCAGGGCTGGGCTAGCGGCGACGGCCGCCGGCGGGTTATTTTCAGCACAGCTCCCGCGCTGCTGCGTGTAGCGGCCGTGCGAGGTTAGGCTGGAGCCCCGTCTCGTGCATTATTATTGCCGGCTGGCGCTGCAGTCGTGCGGCCAGGCGCGGATTGACGCAAGGAAGGTGTGGCGCGACCCCAGTGTAGGTAGACGGCGAGCGGCGACGCGTTGATATCACCCTTGCGCGCTGCTGCTATGTATACTCCAGCAGCGCCCATGGCAGAGGCAGGTGATGGCTCCGGCGACGCCTTCTTCTCCGGCGCGCTCAATATATAAACGCCTCCCGCCCAGGGCCACTGGCCGCGCCCAGGCAATTATACGGCACTCGATGCCCTCGCGCTGGCCTTGACCTGCCCTGTCCACAAGAGCGGCCCGGCGCATTGTCTGCCGCAGCTCTCTGGCTGATCCGCACCGCCCCAGCCCGCGCCTGCAACCCCTTCTCGAGCCCGCCGTTGCTTGCCCCCGAGCCAGCCCATACTTCGTCCGCTTGACATGGCGTATCCTGGCCCGTCCAACGGCTTCCCCCAGCCGTCCTCGTCCCGCAGCGGGCTATTCACCGCCGCAGCGTCCGCCGAGGCCCCGCGCCAGTCCATGCTCGGAGACGCGCAGTTCGACATCTTCGAGTGGCATCCCGCCTACCAAAGCTGCCAGCGCTACTTCCTCGACCACGCCCAGCACGACGGCTCCGTCCAGGCGGTGGCCGCGCTCATCAACATCAGCCTCCCGTTCCAATGGGTTGCGAATCCCATCGTCAGTGCGTCGGGGCTTGCTCCGCCGGGCCCTGGGCTGGGGGCATATCCCGCATCCTGGGCCAGGCAAGGCCCGACGGCCCATGCCTCGCAGCCCGGCGCCCCCGTCTGGGTTTCGCTGGTGCCATTCATCCGACGCCTGGTGGTGACCGGCTTCGACAGGGACGGCATCCTGCACGGCTTCTTCGGAGACGAGTGGCGGAAGGGCGTCGGGCCAGTGCAAGAATGCGAGCGCCGCAACTACCTGTTCGCGGCCAAGAGTGTCGGCTGGGCCAAAGTCAAGTACCAGTACGACATCTCGCCGCACGAGACTGTTCCGTTCATGAAGCCGCTGCAGAACGTGCAGCTCGAGGAGATCGAGGCGGCCGAGAAGACGTGGAGTGAATGGTTGGCCATGGAAGACTGGATGGTGGGACCGCGGGCTCCAGAAGCGATGGACGACGTCCCTGCAGAGGGCATCGAGCGACACTGACCCACCGTTTCCCTGTGTTCAGGACTCGTATTTATAGCAAGGCGTTTGGGCGGCGGCGGCTCCACGAGGACGCAGCGACGGCCGCAGGACTCGACTCCAGGGGACTCTGACGAACGCAGGAGTGCTCGGGGGCCTTTTGTTTAGCATGAAACACGTAATCGGCCAGCAATTGGCTCGCTCTCAACCATGTTCGCCGCGGTGAAGTCGATTGCGGAGCGTGATCCCGTGACCGTGCGATGACTAAGCGCCGCGCGCCGTGCCACGGTGCTCCTGCCTCCAAGCTGGGCGGCGGTTCCCAAACAAACGCAGGCGAGGCTCCGCACGCGCTGTCGACTGCAAATTCCCCCGCGCGTTCTCTCGGCCCCGGAAGGAGCGTAATGTGACGGCGTAGTCGGAACAATCATTTTCACGCCCTCTCGTCTCTGGCAGCCGCTCGCCTCCAGCTCGCCTCGGATCTCCAGACGCCCTGCTCCCTTACCTCGAAATCAAGCGATCCATCCGATGGCCACGTGGACGCAGTTTGTCGACCGCTGCTTGCAGAACAGGCTGAGCGCGGACAAGGTGGAGAGGCTTGCCGTCCAGCTGAGCAAGAGGATCCCCCGTGATGAAGCCCAGCTCGCCGAGGCTTTGCTGCAGCCCCGGTCCCGGGCAACGGCCTGCTCAGATCCGCTGATCCCCGTCTACCTTGAACGCCTCCTGGTGCTGGGTTTCCTCAACCCTCCCGAGATCCTTCACGCCCTCTTCCGTTACTCTCGGGACTATGCTGCCGGGGCCGAGCATTCTTCTCGAAGAGCGCGCCTCCAGCAATGGCATATCACCCCGGACCTGGAGGAGCTGGTCTTTGCCCGCCTGTCCAAGGCATTCATTACCGTCGAACGACCTAGTACCTTTGCAGAGGTGCAGAAAACCCTGGCTATATTGACCCAGTGGATGAATGCTGTCAATTCATCCCAAACAGCCGAGTCTGTTATGCATTCGCTTGCAGATGGTACCCAGGAACAGCGCACACAGACTGTGCTGAGTTTGAGTATGCTCGTCATTGCCATGCTGGAGAATCCCAAGGTTGCAGGCGCGGCTCAGGCAGCATTACCGAAAGGTAGGTTTCCCTCATTTCTTGTCGTCTCGTCGAGAGGCAGCCCAACCCTGCGCCGAGTATCCATCTGGGCTGCGGTACGAACTCTGCTGCTCTTTCCAACCGAGCCACGATCAACCATGAGCTCCATACTTTCCCGACACACTGCTCTACGGCAGAGTATAGGAGATTCGAGCCCTCCAAGCCCCGCGGAGGACGCTACGTTTTCTCTACCTGGATAGTTGAATCTAACAGTTGGACGTATTTGTCCACGTATGAGACTCACACCTACGTCTAGGCATTGGATTCAACTACCCATGGAGCCTTGGTGCGATATCTTCGCAAGAAGAGTTTGAACGGGCCCAATTTCTCCTTTCTTCAACCTGCCGTGGCTCTGCCGTTTACTGCGCCACGTTTCAATGCTGACGACGTGTGGCAGGAATGCGCAAGTCGCTCTCCGACGCTCTTACCGGCTTTGTACCGCACCTGACACAGGCTTCTCTTCAGTGGGGGGACAGGCTCAGCATGCTCCAGAAGCAGTATTCCCTTACCACGGAGAATGCAAGTGGTGGCATTAACGATGGACCCGGAAACCATGGCCTTGATGTTTCCGTCCTGCAGCTCGAAACCGTCATGGACCTCCCTATCATCAATAGCCGTGCCGGCCTCTACGTGTTCATAAACTCTCTGGTAAGTGACCATGGTCCAGTGGCTCGTACTGTCAACTGATAGCCTAGCTCACTGCTCGTCCATTGACCGACGACAATATGATCTTGAATTACCTCCATGCGCGCTACAAGGTATGCCGTCACGTATTACTTCACGCAACTATACTTACCGCAATAGGTTGACTACCAATCCATGGCTGTTGGTCTCATAACTGCTTCGTTCGATGTTCTCGCGGCAAATACGACGTATCGGAGCGAATCAAATGAGGCGATTTTCAACTTCCGCTCATTTTTGATAAACAAAGTTCCCTCACTGGTCGCCATTCTAGCCGGCTCCATGTTCCCAACCACCACTCCGGAGCTTTGCATAACTCAGGCTTTGAACCATATCGACCGTAATGCCTTCCCCTCCTTTTCCCAAACCTTCGACATGGCACCCGTAAATAGTCTGCTCTCAGACGTTCGTCAGGATTTCCTGGTTGCCTGCGCACTGCATCAACTTGTCCCCGAATCCAGCATCGAGCGTCTGCTGGGAGAGACTCCCATGAGCAGTGTCCCTGTTGGGGGGAAATACGTCAAAGAGAATTTGGTAGCACAATGCTCAACAAACTTTGAGCGCGTCGAAGAACTCCTGAATGAGATTGAGGGCATGGACGGCAACGCGGGCGCCATAGTGGGGGCCATGACCGACGTGCGTATATCACTAAACAAGCGAAGGGGAAATGGTTGACGACTCTCAGATTATTCGGAACCTGTGCGCTACCAGGGAGACAATGTCGCTCAAAACAATTTGCAATACCCTCTCACGGAAGCCGCGATCTCTTGATGTTATGCTGCAATATACGTCACCGGCGAGCATTTTGCAACCTCTGTGCCAACTCCTGGACTCGTGGAAAAATGATGAAGACCAGAGTGAGTTGAGCACGGCTGTTGTAAGAATTCCGTTGACAAGTGTTCAGGCGAGTACCAGCCGGTATATGATGAATTTGGCTCCGTGTTGCTGCTCGTGCAGGCTTTCATGCACCGACATGATCTTAAATCATCTGACCTTGGCTTAGAGGATGCCTCTTTCGTCATCCAATTAACAGAAAGGGGACATAAAAGCCTTGACGCAGATGAACTCACCGAAGACCAGAACAAATACCTGGCTGGCTGGCTCCGTGGATTGTACGACCCGGAAGGCATCAGTGACGAGCTCCTGTCAAACTGCAAGCCTCAGGACTTTTACCTGCTTGTCCCCACGATATTCAGCCAGACAATATTCGCATGCTCCGCCGATGTGCTTCCTCTCGACACCGTCAAAGCCGGCCTAGAATGTCAGTAATACCCGACACCCATACCTTGACGTGACGAGCTAAGGAAAGCAGTCCTTTTAGAGACATTCCTCTTGCCTTCGCTGGTCGGCGCTGTAATGTGGATCACATCACATGCTCTGGAACAGAATGTCCACGACCTTGATATTACCATGCAGATTCTCACAAGGCTCATTCGTCCCACGTCCATATCAGGAGAGGCGCAAGCCATGCACAGCACAATTGTTTCCATGGTTTCTCGGAGGCTTGAGCGCTGTCTGAAAAGCATCCAACACCGCGAGCCGTCCCGGACAGACGTTAACCCGTTATTGGAATCATTGCGTCCGTATCACGATTACGAGCGAACGCCCTGGAGCTCTTCTGCGGAACTCGAACCATGGATGTCTAACCCAGGAGCTTCTTTCCGCTCAGCGATCAAGTTCACAATGCAACACCTTACCAGCTGGAACTCCACCGCCGACCTCACACCAACGCCGCCAGCGTACACGCACCGTCAGATATTCAGTGCCCTGCAGATTGTTGGGGCGCAGAAGGTCCTTCGTGCCATCCTTGAGGAGCTCAAGAACCAGACCGTGGCGGGAGCTGGTGCTGTTGCGATAGACATCGCGGTCAATATCGTCTGCGCGCCGCTTCACGTCAACAGCTGCACTCCAGTCTCCTGGCTCAACTCTCAAGTGCCTGCTCATAACCCACAGAGGAACGGGTCTTTCAGTCTGCGTGAGATGCTCAAAAACGAACTGGATGATCCGGCCTCCCTAATCCAGGCGGATGCTGGGCTTGCTGAAGCAGCAATTCGCCTCCACCGCCGGGTAGAGGCCCAGCTTGCTGAGGCGGCGGCGGCCGGCGTCCATCTCCCTACATCCGCCGGCGCTGCTGCGGATGCTGCGGCCCTCGATGGCAACCTCATGCAAGGCATTGAAATTGGTGACGTAAGCGTTGACATTTCGGCCGCAGGAGCGGCTGCTGTTGCGTCTACCGCAGGCGGCGCGACGGGCGCCAACACGTCCACGGCAACAATGGACCAGAATGGATTAGACATTACCGCTGACCTTGGTGCGGCGGATGGCACTGCACCGAGTCTGGATGACTTGGGTCTCGGTGGCGATGGCGGCATGGACGGCGTGTTAGATGCAGCCGGCACGGGAACGGCGGACGACGATGTCTTTTCAGGGCTTATGGGGTTTGACGACGATTTGAACTTTTGATTGCTCCTTCACAATATCAATGTTGATGTTGCCTAGTTCTCTCCTACTTTCTTGAAAGGGCATTGGTATGGTGAATTATGAACTGAGAGCCTCTAGGCGTATGATAAAAGCATTATTCATCCGAGTTAAAGAACGGCCATGCAACCGTATGCCGCACTTGGCTTTCAATTGTGGAGGAGTGCTTGATCAGACTCCGGCCTTACTATGCCTGTATCCGGATCTCAGGGCGTAGGACAAAGTCAAAGCATCAGGAAACCGACCAACAGAACATAAGCCGTAACACCATATCGCCGTAGTGTAAGCAAACAAACGGCTCTGATTTACATATGAACTTCGGCCCCTCCTACCATGAATTCCTGCAAGCAGACCCCATGCAACATAAAGAACCGCGTAGAAAACAGTGAAGTAAGTCGTGATTCTCGCATGCAACGAGATGTCTCAAGTCAGCTTCTGCTTGATGAAGAAGGCGCGGAGGTGCGACAATTGCCAGGCGCAGGTGACGCCAAGCACTGCAACTTGCATCAAAGTCCAACGGACAACCTTGGCGTTGGTGGACTCGGACTGGTCCCTGAACTCGGCTTCCCGCTCCTGCATTACTGGTGTCAGCCAAGTCAACGTTCCCAAGACGAGAAGCAGGGCTCGTTACCCTCTGGAAAACCTGCTCCCGGCGGATGTCCTGTAGCCTAGCGTTCAAGTCCCTGACCTTCTGCTGGAGATCTTGCATCTTATCCTTGTCGTCGCTCTCGATCTTGCTGGTCTCTCCGATGGCGAGGTCGAGATCGAAACGGATGCTGCCGGCCTGTTGGCCGCTAGAGAGCCAGCCGGAGTGGGTGGCGGCGCCGATTGGGGAAAAGCAGATGCGATGCTCGCCAGAGTCGGCGGCCGAGAAGGTAAATTTGCCCTTGACCGAAGTGCCGCGCTGCGAGACAACGCGGTGGTCATTGTCGAAGACCTCTTCAACGCTGATATAGATCTGCACGTTGTTGTTCGGCGTGTAGGCGCGTAGGCCTTCATCCCACTGTTCGGCGTTGTAGTGGCCTTAGAGTGCAATTGCGGTGGTCAGCAGCGAATGAGCAAGAGACAGGCCGCTGAAGGAAAGCACTCACCGACGACCAGCGTATCCTTGGGGAGTTCTTCGAAGAAGCACTTTTGGCCGTTGCCCTCCATGTAGAAATACAGAGCATTGACGGGGACAAGCCAGGCCGCCAAGACCAGGAGGGTGAGCAGGGAGCCGAAGCTTGACATCGTGGGGGTTGAGCGAGCCATGGAACTGGAGGAACTGCTTGCGGGCGGAGAACGTTGGCGGCAGAAACGCGACACCAAGGTCGATCGCCAGGGACACCTGTCGCAAAGCTCCAGCACCGAAACGGCATAGCGCCCACGTGACAGGCACCCTGTCTCCAGGCCCGACGCTTCACCAGATCTGCTTCACAATCATTCGCCTACACCGATTCTAGAATTATTAGGCGGTTCGCTGTTGCATTGTAGACACACGTGATATCGTATTTATTTGCTCTATTTCGTGTACTCGTACAAAAGGAAAACTTAGAGATAGTTATTTTTGCTTGCCGGCTCTGCCCCCTTGACGCTCATTCCTCTGTTCTGGGAAGCGTGCCCGGAGGAGTGGCCCTTTAGCCATTGACCACGACGCCACCGTTGGCATGTAGTGTTTGACCAGAAATGGAGCTGGAGTCAGTGCTAGCAAGGAAAACAAAGCACGTGGCTATTTCGCTTGGTTGGCTGGGCCGTCCCATGGGTGAGGTGAATTGATCCTGCGCCTCATGATTCATAGTGGCCGGGATCAACGGCGTCCATACAGGCCCAGGAGCCACGGCGTTGACGCGGATGCCCTTGGAAACGTACTGGTTTGACAAACCGCGTGTGAATGAGATCACGGCACCTTTTGTTGACGTGTAGTCCAGTAGGTCGGGGCGGCCAATGTAGGCGTTGATGGAAGCGTTGTTGATTATGGTATCTCCCTTCTGCATGTGTGGGATGAGGTACTTGGAGAGGTAGAACTGGGTACAGATTAGGCACTGTCCAAGGATCAAATGGTACGGGAGCCTTACGTAGGGGTGTATGTTGACGTTAAAGGTATGCTCCCATTGATCCTCTGAGAGCTCCTGAATGTCGTTGACCATCATTTGGTAAGCTGCATTGTTCACCAAGATGTTGACGGCGCCCATGGCCTCCCGGGCCCTGTCAGCCGCTTCCTTGCAGTTTTTCCGGAGAGTGAGATCAGTAGCCATCAGGTAGCATTTTCCTCCGTACTGCTCCACCTTCTTCTTGGTCTCCTGGGCATCGGATTCTTCCTGGGGAAGATAGACGATGAAGCTGTCGGCGCCCTCCATGGCGAACAGAACGGCCACGGCGCGACCAATGCCACTGTCGCCGCCAGTAATCAGTGCCTTTTTGCCCCGGAGCTTCCCCGCAGCCTTGTAGATTTGATATCCCCCATCCTCAGTGGGAACATTCTCGTCCTGGGGCTGGGGTCCTTCAAGCTCGGACTGGAGGCCTGGTGGCTGTTGATCCTGGATGGGTACCCGGTGTCCTATGTTGCTTTTAGCGGGCTGGTTAACGGCGGCCAGGCGACGATCAAATCACCTTGCTCGAACTGCGAGTTGGAACCGGTGGTGGATTTGACTACGTTCTTGATTGTGTCCATGATGGTTTGGAGGGTGAGGCTGCGACAATGGAAGCAGCAGTTGCGGTTTTGTACAAGGCAACATTACATCATCGCTGAGTACGGCGGCACCCGATGCGGGTGACGACATGACGACGTCTGCCGGCGGCAGAAGCAACGTCTCGAGCGCGCTCGCAAAGCACAGTAGGTATCTGCCATTGTCGACCTCCCGCGTGGTCCAGGACGGATTCGCCAGGATGGGCGCTGTAGCACTGACGACGATCGCTGCCCACAGTCCACAGCCACCGCGCCCCTCAGTCAGGGCCGTCAGCCACAGCGGCGCTGCTGAGTCAGACACAGCTGCCCAGCCAAGTGTCCTGGTGTTCCTCTCCACTGTGCTCTCAGGACACAAACTTGCCAGAAGGGCTGCGCGATGACGTAACCGCACGGACCCTGGCTGTTCTCTATCGTCCTGTCTACACCACTCATTAGCCTGAATGCCAAACACAGTCCGAAGTATTGTCGCAGTTGGTGCCAGCGTGCATGCAGAGCCCGCTGTATGGCCGCGCGCGACGTGGGCACGGTGCCAGCGGGACTGGCGCTGTCGCGACATGAAGGCCCGCCGCCTTCGCGCTCGCCTGCCATTGGCAGGGCCGCTGCAAGAGTGTCAGATAGGCAATCTGTCTGCCCTGCTTCTGGCCCTGCATGACGTCCAACCCTGACAACCCGCGCTCCTCCACTGAACCCTGTTTTATCTCAACTATCTACGTACCTATTTAACCCGGGGAGAGTTCCCCATATCGAGGGAACTATAATCACACTCGACAGACTCGTCTCCACTTTCATCTACCAAGCCAACAAAAAGCACAATGCCTGCCACTCGCAAGACCAGGACCACCACCCGCAAGCCCAGCATCATGAGCAGGCTTCGAAGTCGCCGTGCTGGCGCGCGTGGAACAACCACAACCACCACCACCACCAAAACCACCAAAACCACCAACAACGCCCACACCGCCGGCGCGACTACTCATCACCACAAGCGCAAGCCCTCCCTCAAAGACAAGGTCTCGGGCGCCATGCTCAAACTCAAGGGCACCGTAACCCGCAAACCTGGCGAGAAGGTCAGTCGTAGAACCGTCCCGCAAACCAATGATGCGTGATCATGGCGTACTGACAGATCTCGCTCAGGCCGCTGGAACAAGACGCATGCGTGGAACCGATGGCAGGGGCAGCCACCACAGATATTGAGCAAAGGGGGGAGGGGGGGATCGGCGGTACGAGTGACGGATCGCGTTGACCATGTACGATATAGTGATACCCTTAGTGATTCCCATGGGATCGGATTGTGAAATGAGGACATGCATCTTTCCAGAGTAATGTTGGAGCAGTCAGGTGCCAGATTGTTTTCTTGCCCAGTGTTTGTGACGTAGCGTTGCTTCAAAGTAAATCGCCAAAGCCCCTTTCCGAATCTTTCTTGATAAGCTCCATCATGCCCTACATCCACGTTAGTTGTGCCCGACTTGCCGCGTGCCAGGACCCTCACCTCCGGCATGATTGGCTGCCCCTCTTTGCTAGTGACATAACGGAACGGCATTTCCGTGCTCTCATGCTCGTCGACCCTGATCTCGGGGTTGTCGACGAATGGAATTGATTCCAGAGGCACTGCCAGGAACCAGATCAGACGATGGCGGCACCCCACGTGAGACGGAGGCCTTACTCTTTTCTTGCACAACCATTCGCGTCACTCGGACGGCAGTATCCGTCGTCATCTGGACTGGACCCAGCCTACGTCCGTTGAAGCCCTTCTTGCGCAGCTCCGAAGTGCGGTCTGCCCGGTTGCGTCAGCAAATGCAGTGGTCGAGGACGTTTCATGCCACCGTACCTCTTGGCGGGTCGTCACCTGTGCATAGTCAGCTTGCGAGCCCACGACTGTCTCTGCTCAACCCGCCCTCATACCCAGGATGCCTCCAAACAGGAAGACGTCAAAATGATCGCCATCAGCTGGGCTCAACTCTTGCTTGGCAGCGGGATCGAGCAGGCAGACCTTTGCCTTTTCGAACAGGGTTTCCACGCTGTCGTGCTCAACCTCGAGCCCGTCCACCTTGGCCAGCTTCTCCGGGAGTTTCAACGTCTCGGGCACGCTGGAGAGCAGGAAGCGGCATCCCGCAGCACGCGACTCTCGGGCAATGGCGGCATACTCGAGCGACGACCAGGCCTCCAGCTCGGGGTCGAGATGCTCGACGACAAACGTCTTCGTTACTGGCGCAGCCATGTTGGTGCTGCGCTGCAGTTGGAATGAAAGCAGCCACGTGACCGTGATCGAAGTTGGTGAAAATTGTGGGCGGCTTCCGCTGTTGCTGGACCCGGCTAGGTACCCAGTACTATCTCTCCAGCGGCCCGTTTGTTCTTCCTAGGCCCGCACCCCCGCGGGCACCTGCCTCCTCGGCGCTCGCCGGGTCACGGCCTGGGCTGGGGGGCGCAACCACTGGTTGAGGGCAATGGCAGCAGCAGCAGGCTCAATGGGCCGCACACGGTGCTGGCAACAGACATGATTTTTTTTTTCTCCCTTCCCTGGCCGGACGACGTTGCACAGTGACATGGCCGGGCCGGGCGGCGATTGGCGCAGCGATGCGCGTGACGTGCCGGCAGTGACCAATTGGGCGGGCGGGGCTGCTTCAGACACATCCGCTGGTGCACGGCGGCCCAGGACTGGACAGAGAAGTAGGAGGGACGAGACGAGGCCGCTCCCGTCGAAGCTCCTTCATGCTCACGCCGCCCGCCCGTCCTGACCCAAGCGCCTGCGACCCATTCCTCGACCGCTTGAGCACGCAGCCTCACAGCTTGCTTTGGCCTCTGCCACTCTACCTCGTTCAGCCACCCCACTATTAGCTTGCTTGCTCCACCACCAACCGGCCCGCGCCAGCAGCAAACAGCGCAAGTGAAGCCCTACACCCGGGCTCAGCCCGTCGCCTCTGCCCACTCGCATCATTCTCGAAAGCGCAAGGATCGACTCGTCGAGCGTAGTGCAGTCTTCACCCAGCCCGTGTCGTGATTGGAGCTGCTGTCCATACCTACCCAACCCTGCCTGAGGCCAGCAACACGGACGCTGCCTTCCCGTATTGACGTGTACCTGCGCGCCGCGACGACCTCCCGTCATTGAACGCCGCCCGAATTTCTTACACACGCGGACAAAGCACATCGCGACGCCGCCCACACACCCGCCGAGCAACGCCCGCGCCCTGCGACCGCCACCTCGAGCTCCAACCAGAAACTATCTCGGCTGCCCAACCTTTGCACCACCACACACCACCATGAATCCCCACCAGAAGAACAAGGTCGATATCAGCGTGCGTCACCCAAACCTCGCCGCGCCCACCGCCAGCCGCGGCACACCGTACGCTTGCGCAGCAAGAGGACACGGCTAACCAGCGCTGCAGTCACTGTCGGCCGAGGAGCAGCGCCTGTTCAGGCTCTACGGCAAGTTGCCGAATCGAAAGGACCTTCTGCAGAACAAACTCAAGGTAGGCCCGAGATGCCCTGTGCCCGAGAGGCTGCCGGCGCCTGCTGACACCGGTGCCGTAGGAGCGCAAGTACTTTGACAGCGGAGACTACGCCCTCTCCAAGGCCGGCAAGGCAGACGATGTCGGCGTCACGCAGATCGGTCGCGAGCACCCTGTTCCTGAGAACATCCCGCACAGCTCGTCGCCGCACGCAGGCAACGGCGGCATCAACATGCCAGCTCCCCATCACGCCAACGGCCAAGGCACCAGCCCAGCCAAGGAGAGCAACTTCATCCACCGCGAGACGAGCCTCAACCGTGAGACCAGCGTAGACGACGAGGAGATGGAGGGTGCCAAGGATGGCCTCGAGGCCAAGGCCGAGGAGGAGGGAAAGGCCGTGCCCATCCGTCAGTCGTGAGGAGCAGTGTATCCGCATGGCTTGTACAAGGTTTCCAGGGGAATTCCTCACATTGAGCTTCTGCGCAGCTTTATGATGTGACGTCCGCATGAGCTTCATTCTGACGGGCTTAGCTCATGGCTGCCCTGTGTATGTCGCTGCCGCTGATGAGAAGCAGGCGCGCGGACTATGGGTTTGGCGTTTTTTTTGAGGGTGATGGGATTGAGGGCCGGTAGGCCGGCCTCCACTGCTTTGCTGCTACGTCTGCTTCGTGTAGCTTACTTAGGCTCCTGCAACGAGCAATACACTCTTGACACTCCATATGACTGGATGGTGTGACGCAGCCGTCAGTCAGGCTTGCGGCGTTTCGATGCGCTCTCTTACTGCATCGGGGCGGACACGCCTGGGGAAAACGCATTTAGCAACGTCCCAAACAAAGGCTGCGGCCAGCGCCCAGAGGGCAAAGCGTTGCCGGGGGCTTGCAGCTGGCGCTGGCGGGCAGGTGGCAAGGGAACCATGGCTTTGTGCACACCAGGCCCATGGCAGCCTGATGATGAACGAGGCCCGGCAAAGACCGAGACGGCCTGTCGCCTTGGGCCTTCAGTCGTCGTCGTCGCGGGGCCCGGCGGCAAGCCGGACTTCTTGGGGCGCCCCCATGAATCGCAGCCGCACGGGGATCTCGCGGCATTCCGCAGGACCCTTGGCCGGCGATCCCCTTGTCACCGGCACCCGCAGGCCACGAGTCCTCTCAAAGAGAAAACCGCCCCGGAACCGTGTTCCAATAGCCAGCTCCGCCCACAGTTCCCGGACCTGCGCCTGGCGTGCAGCAGCTCTGTTCCGCGCTGCTTCTGGACCTTGACTGGCCCTCCGTGCTGCCTTCGAAGCATTGGTTGGCTGCCCGTTCGCGCCGCCGTCTCCCTCCGCCGCCCTGGCCCGGTCCGACACCCAGGTGAAATAGCACGCGCGGCCTGTCCGCTCCAACTCGCGACACCTGTCTCCCCTCTCGCACCTGCGCCGCCGTCCCCCACATGCTCAGTCCGCTGGATTTGCTTTCGCGGTCGCGCGCCGGTGCCCCCATGCGCGCGCTCGCCTACGGCCTCCTGGCCTCGGCCGCCTGGCTGCCTGTCGCCTGGGCTGCCGACCAGGAGAAAACGGCCGCTGATTATTTCGTGCACTCGCTTCCAGGCGCGCCCCCCGGCCCGCTGCTGAAGATGCATGCAGGGTAAATGCCCTCCTCCCTGCCGTGGCTGCGCGCCCTCTTCGCAAGGCTAAAGATGAGACAGACACGTCGAAGTGAACTCCGAGCATCACGGCAACTTGTTCTTCTGGCACTATCAAAACAGACACATTGCGAACAGGCAGCGCACCGTCATTTGGCTGAACGGAGGCCCGGGATGTAGCTCCATGGATGGTGCCATGATGGAGATTGGGCCATACAGGGTAACGCCGGACCAGAATTTGGTATACAACAACGGCTCATGGGACGAGTTCGCAAATCTTCTGTTTGTTGACAACCCGGTCGGAACCGGCTTCAGCTACGTGGACACGGATAGCTACCTGTCTGAACTGGACCAAATGGCAAGCCAGTTTGTCATCTTTCTGGAAAGATGGTTTGCAATGTTTCCCCAGTTCATGTACGATGATGTATGGATCTTGCCCATCTTCAGACAGGTGCACGGGCTAACTACTGTGGCAGATCTACATAGCGGGAGAGTCGTATGCTGGCCAACACATTCCCTACATCGCCAAAGCCATGATGGAGCGCAACAAAGACGCCAAGGAGAAGTGGCAGCTCAGGGGACTCCTCATCGGCAACGGCTGGATTTCTCCTGTGGATCAGTATCTGTCATACCTCCCTTACGCCTACAAGAACGATTTGTTAAGATCTGGCTCCGAGGCAGCCAAGAAGGTGGAGGCCGCTCAGTCAGTGTGCGTCAAGACTTTGGATGCCGGCGGTGCGGGGCACGTGGACGTTGGCGATTGCGAAGAAATCCTTTCGACTCTTTTAAGTGTCACCCAGGATCGGTCCAACGACAGGGAGCACCAATGCCTTAACATGTATGACATCCGTCTGAGAGACACCAACGAGGCCTGTGGCATGAACTGGCCACCGGACTTGGTGCAACTCACGCCATATCTTCGTCGCGAGGACGTCAAGCAAGCGATCCACATCGACGCTGCCAAGCGTACCGGCTGGCAAGAGTGTTCGGGATCTGTATCCCTCAACTTCAAGGCTCGCAACTCCAAGCCTTCGATTGACCTTCTTCCAGACTTGCTGAAGGAAATTCCCATCCTCCTCTTCTCCGGAGACAGGGATCTCATCTGCAATCACTTGGGTACGGAGGATCTTATCAACAACATGTTCTTCAACGGCGGAAAGGGCTTCGAGATCAGCCCTGGAGAGATTGCCCCACGTCGGGACTGGACCTTCGAGGGCGACGCTGCTGGTGTCTACCAGGAAGCCCGCAACCTCACATATGTGAAGTTCTTCAACAGCAGCCACATGGTTCCTTTCGATTATCCCCGTCGCACCCGCGATATGCTTGACCGTTTTATGAATGTCGATCTCTCTAGTATTGGTGGAAAGCCTGTCGACTCCAAGATTGACGGCGAGAAGGGTCCCTTGACGAGCGTTGGGAGCCATCCCAATTCGACTGCTGCCGAAGAAGAGCAGGAACAGGCCTTGGAGGATGCGACCTGGAAGGCGTACTACAAGTCCGGCGAAGTCGCACTCGTGGTTGTCGCCAGCTTGGCATGCGTCGGCGGCTATCTAGTCTGGCGCGATCGTCGGCGCAAGGCTGGATACCAAAGTATATTCCCTTGGGCGAAAGACAACGGCAGTTCCATCATGAGTAGAGGCATGGGCCTCGAAGGTTTCAGGAGCAGGAGCAACACCGAGCGGGACATGGAATCAGCGTACGAAGAGCACGAGCTTGTTGGCTCTGTCAGTTCGGAAGGAAGCGAGTCTGGCAGGGGCAAGCGTGGCCACAATAACAGCAACGCTGATAGTGAGGCCTTCGGGCTCGTGGACAGCGACGACGAGAGCGATTCGGAAAAGCAACGGAGGTGAAGAGACTGCTTCTTCTTCCTTGTATATGTAGAGCATGGGCTGGTGTTGATGTGGCGTCGATTTTTGAATAATACATACTTTTCCTAGCTGCGGGATGCCTACAGTTGGTGACCTGCCATGTTCGGATGTACCAAGTGGGTGGCGCACGTGACTGCGTACCTGGCGTCGCCGAGGGTCGCGCTACGCGTCTGCCGCCTAGTCGACACCCGAACGCGTCAACCTCGCCCGCCGACAACATCCGCCACCTCGACACGCCATGTCCTAGTGGTCCTCACCCGCTCAACGACGAAAATGCCTCGGTGCGCTTCTACCGGCCTGTCTCATTCATATTCACGCTAACACCATTCTGCGACTTCCAGACCAGGCGACCAGCATCGCGGCATCGCGAACCCTTTTGAAGACGAGAAACCGCGCCTTTCTGCATGGACGGCACAGGAGCTCGCAACGCTCCAAAGCCGTCTCGACAAACAGCTCGGGCCTGAGTTCATATCGTCGCGCAAGGGGCCCAGTGGTCGCACTCTCTATTACCTTCCCGCCGAGAAGGCCATCAACTTAGCCAACGAGGTCTTCGGGTTTAGCGGCTGGAGTAGCTCTATACGAGACACAACAATCGATTTTGTAAGCGCACTCAAGACTCGCATGTGCCTAGGCTACCGATTTTGTGGATTAACGTATGCCTTCTTCGCAGGTTGACCAGAGTCAGAGCTCCGGCAAGGTGAGCCTGGGTCTGAGTGTCATCATCCGGGTTACCTTGAAGGATGGCACTTACCACGAGGTTTGAAGCTCCGTGAGCTCTATGCTGTACCATTCAGTGCTGACCCGAACCCAGGATATCGGCTATGGCCACATTGAGAACTGTTCAGGCAAAGCAGCCGCCTTCGAGAAAGCGAAGAAAGAAGCCGCCACCGATGCGCTGAAACGCGCGTTGCGGACATTTGGAAACGTTCTCGGAAACTGTCTTTACGACAAAAACTACGAAAGTAGAATTTCAAAAATGAAAGTCGCCCCGACGAAGTGGAAACCAGACAGCCTACACCGTCACGCCGACTTTGCACCGACTGCAACGACAGAAGTGACGCCATCTGCAGATATGGACCACAAGTTGCAAAGGCAGCCTAGCATCCAGAAGACTGTGTCGAACGGAACCGAGCTCGAGGATGAGTTTGGCGGCAATCTGTTTGAAGGCGTAGACTTTGACCGGGATGACAGTAAGGACGACTCGGCGTATGAGAGTATGCTGGTGAACGCGGGAACAAAGCCTGATCAGCATGGCGCTGCACAGCATCAACCCGTTTTTCGCACGCAGTCTATGCCCTCAGTACGGCCCACGAACGGCGTATCATCTGGACCTCAGCGGATACCATCCGCAACAGGGAAGGCCATGGATACAAACCGCACGAGTGTGGCTTCTCGGGAAGAAAGCACGATGCAACGCATCCAAACATCCAATCCTAATACGTTACCGCCCGGCAGAACCGACCAGCCCGTGGCAGCGCCGTCGCTAGTTCATGTGGCACAGTCAAATTGTAAGGACAGCTTGACTAACCCTGCCACCTCCGAAGTGGGACCTGACTCGTCCAATCAAGCGCAGGCACAACAACATTCTTCACATGATACCCCTGTCCGCTTTGTTACGGGTCGTGCTGCCGAGCTTCTTTTAAAGGCAGAAGCTGCAAATAGGGCGCCGGCTCAGCCGCCGCCAGCTTTCGATCCGCATGTCGAGTCACCATCCCTACGGCGCACAAGCGGAGTCGATCACAACACTTCTGCCCCAGTCAAGAGGATGGTTATCACACAAGCCGGCAATCAAAGTGGAACGAACGGAAACACCAGTGGCCCCGTCCGTAGCAGTACTCCCTCTGCGCCAGGAGCGAGGGCCAATTTTGTCAATCCCCAAATGGACATGAACAGGCGGGTAGGCATGCCCAACGCTGCGCCCAGTCCCCATGCCAATCGCCAATCATACAAACCACCTGTCATGAAGCGGCCAGCAGAGGCGCAGGGAAGACCCGCATTAGCAGACATGACAAATGTCCCTGGAGACGGACAAGCCGATGGTGCAGATACTAAGAGGGCCAAGATGAGCGAGAGTTAGAAGTGTCGTGGTTCCACATGCGAGTCCCTCTATTGATGTAACTCTGGTAGTAACGGTACGGGTGGCGTTTACATGCATATCTGGCGCTTTCTTTGCACGGAGCATCGCATGCCAAGCTCTTGTTTGGGAGGGAGGGGTTGTTCATTTCATGACTTTCCAGGCTTGAGATATGGGTAGCAAACTTGCTCAGGAGTAATTCATTTTTCTTAGGGGTATGCTATCTAACAGAAGCGATGTGTTCATCAGTTTACTACAAGTTTCGCATCAGGCGCAACCCGTCACCACGTAGGGTCTGCGGGAGCGCATCAGTGCTTGACTCTATTGTAGGAATCATCATATGAACACGCTTGATGAGTCTGGCTCGTTCGACCGAGCCCAAGCAGGCACAAGGGCCTGATGTCAGCAATTTGCAGACTCGTGAAAAAAAGTGATTGTGAACCCCTCGCACCAAGAATAAGCCCCATCGAGTTACCTCCGGTCCACAACGAACGTGGAAGGCAATCGCATGACTATCTTCTCGACGAATGAACCTCGACGCCGCTACTGGCAAGCCAGCGGCCGCGGATGCCTGCACGGTCTCCCAGCAACTCCCCAGCTTCAACCCAACCCGCAACAGCCCGAGCCTTGCGCTACTCGGACTCGTATCTTCATCCGTGGTGAGCAGCCTGGGGCTCGGGTGGTACAGAGAGGGAGCAGCCGGGTGCAATCGGAGCAGGGCGTGCAGGAGATCCGGGAACGGCTAAGAGACGGCGCAGCTGCTATGGCGGCGCGTTGACGCGGACTCCCCTACTCGGGGTTGTCCGGGGACTTTCTCCCAAAGCTTTGTGTGGAGCGAGAGCACCCTGAAAGGACGTCTCCGTGCGTGAGCTTCGACTGCGATTCTTTGGACGAGGGGTTGGAGGAGAAGAAGCTGTAGCGCTTCGGCGCGAAATTTTGGGCAGGCGGCGGGCGGAAGAATAGTCGGGCCGGCGAGCAACACCTAGACTCATGCGGCAGGCGCGAGGCAGCTCTTGACGCGAAGCTGCCTGCGCCCGCCGGTGCCTCCAACAAAGCTGCCTCCCGCCCGCAAAGAAAAAGGGCCGCCTTCGGCCACCGCTCCCTCTCCGCGCGCCATTGACTCCCTTGCCAGCCGTCCGCCCTGTTACTCGTCGTGGGACCCATCTGATTTGGCTGGAACGCGCGCCCTGCACGTCGCCGCCTGCAAAAGCTCGACCGCGTCGCGACCATATTCCCGACTATACCTTGCCAACGTTAAACATGGCTGGCCTATTCGGTGCAGGCTCCACGAGCTCCGCCTCGAACCCTACTCAGGGCGATACGTCCAAGGACCTCCCGATCAACTCTCCGCCTAGTGATTCAATCAGCGAAATCGCCTTCTCGCCGACCCAGGATATTCTTGCCGCCTCATCCTGGGACGGCTCCGTCTACGTCTGGCAGATTGACAACAATGGCCAGAGCAATCCCGCAACTTCGTTCAAGTTCGACGCGCCTGCGCTGTGTTGCGCCTGGGCTATGGTACGCGCACGCTTCCAAGCCTTTTCGGCGTCTGTCGCCGCCAGCTACGATTCAGCTGACCATGCGTTCACAGGACGGATCCAGTATCATTGGTGCTGGCGCTGATAAGACTGCTAAGAGGGTCGATCTCGGCGCGAACCCTACACCCGTTGTGATCGCGCAGCATGACCAGCCGATTCGCAGCATCAAAGCAACCAACATCTCCAACCACAACGTGCTCGTTACTGGCTCATGGGACAAGTCGATCAAATACTGGGACATCCGCGCGAGCAACGTGCAGCCTGTCATCAGCGTCAGTGCCCAGGAGCGCGTTTATACCATGGATGTCAAGGACAAGCTGCTGGTCGTCGGCACTGCCGATCGGTACATCGACATCATCAACATCGACAACCCCAATACCTTCTATAAGACCATGCAAAGCCCACTCAAGTGGCAGACGAGGGTCGTCAGCTGCTTCTCCGACGCGACCGGCTTTGCGGTGGGCAGTATTGAGGGCAGGTGTGCCATTCAGTATGTCGAGGAGAAGGATGCTTCGTAAGTACAAGGACCTTTCACCTCCTTCCACCGTCCCCTAGGGGAACACGTATATTTGCAGACGGACAAGGTTCTCTTCCAACTCTCAGCAGTAGAACCCTGGCGAAAGCCTTGTATCGTCAAGATGGAGTGAGACGTCTTCTGACGACATGAACAGCTCAAATTTCTCTTTCAAGTGCCACCGCGTTACCGATGATACGTCGCGCGATATCGCCAAGGTCTTCTCGGTCAATGCCATCTCCTTTCACCCGCAGCATGGAACCTTCAGCACAGCTGGCAGTGACGGCACCTTCCACTTCTGGGATAAGGATGCCAAACACCGTCTCAAGGGCTACCCTGGGGTCGGTGGCCCCATTACCTCGACTGCTTTCAACGCGAGCGGCAGCATCTTCGCCTATGCGGTTTCATACGACTGGAGCAAGGGCTATGCGCACAACAACCAGAGCATTCCGACCAAGATCATGCTGCACCCCGTCCAGGCTGAAGAGTGCAAGCCGCGTCCCGGCAGCAAGAAGCGGTAGATGAACAGTCGGCTCCGCGAGTGTCACGATGCAGGGCATGTTAACCACTTGGGCGATAGCCATATACGGAATTGCTGGTCTGCCAGGCGAGCGTCGCACGCAGACAGGGTATATTTGTGCTTCTTTTTCTTCTAAAAGGCGATGGGCCAATATGAAGAGGCGAATCGGCCTCTTATTCGGAGCATGCTCATTGCACGGTGTTTGAGGAGTTTCGTGCTTCATTCAAACAAGGGAAAGGGCAGGGAAAGAAAGTTAATCCATGATGGCAGCATGCAGCGAGGTTGGAGGTAGTCTGAAGCGAAGCACATGCGACTGCCATTGAACAAACAAGGCGTGCAGTCTTCTTGATGCAGCTGGGGCAGATAAAATGGTGATAGATAGACGCAATCGAAGATGATGAGACGGCCCCTAGGCGCGAACAGAATACATTTGTGGCCAACGGAGTGTCCTTGATATGAAGATGTATGCTTTAGGCTCTCGTTTCTTGACGATCTCCCCCACCTCGCAGATCACCACTGGACGTGGATGATTGCAGCAATGGCAATTGATGGTTTGGTCTGACGTCTGTAGTGTCCGCTTGGCTTCCCACTTTTTCCTTTATTTTTTTTTGGGGGGGCCCGGGTAACCCCACATGCAGACAGGCTCCAGCGTCTTTGGCTCAGGGACATGTTGCTCACCGCCTGCACACGCCGCCACGCACCCCACTAGCGCCTCCTCCCTCTCGTCCTTCCCCCCTCCCTCGAAGCCCCTTCAACGGTGTTATGCGCTGCTTCGTCACTTTGCTCGCCCCGATTCGTGTCCGCGAAACCTTCGTTGCTCCGCCGGCATTATCGAGTCGTCTGACCGCCATTCTCCCCGGTCGACAACAGCCAGTACTCCAGCACAATCCTGCGCAGCGCCAATCCTTCGTCACGACGTCGATCTCGAGCTTCTCATACGCACGTTCCTCCAGCGAGATGTCGCAGCAGTCCAAGCCAGCGTTTGACACGCGCCCCGTCATCATCTCCGGCCCCAGCGGCGCGGGCAAGAGCACCATCCTCAAGCGCCTCTTCGCCGAGTTCCCTGGCCGCTTCGGGTTTTCCGTGTCACGTACGTCCAGCTTGCACACAAATACGTCGTCCTTCGCGAGAAGCCCGGCGTGAAGATTTGGAACTGCCGCTTTTTTCTAACAAGCTCCCGATTTTGGAACACCCGCAGACACCACCCGCGCACCGCGCCCCGGCGAGCAGGATGGTCGCGAGTACCACTTCACGACACGCGAGGAATTCGAGACCATGATCGCCGACAGCAAGTTCGTCGAGAACGCCATTTTCGGTGGCAACCGCTACGGCACCTCGTTCGCCGCCGTCGCCGACCTTGCCAAGGAGGGCCGCGTGTGCATCCTCGACATCGAGCTCGAGGGTGTGAAGCAGGTGGATCGTCTCTCCAAGGAGGACAGGCTGCCGTTTGCGCGGCCCAAGTTTCTGTTCCTGGCGCCGCCGAGCGTGGAAGTGTTGGAGCAGCGGTTGAGGGGGAGGGGTACCGATACCGAGGATGCGATCCAAAAGAGGCTGGATCAGGCGCGGGTCGAGATGGAATTTGCGGAGACGGGCGCGATCCACGAAAAGGTGGTCGTGAACGACGACCTGGACAAGGCATACAAGGAGGTGAGAGACTTCATTGTCGGACCAGCCGAGTCGTGAGCATGGGTCGTGCGTTTAGACATGCGATTTGATATCCACGAGGGCGTGGGATCTACGAGCTCGGGACCGTCATACGGGGAATTCAGCGTGCATCAAACATGCTCCTCAGCGACGAAAGATGATTATTACATACCCGCAGCTGGGAAAGGAAACGCTTAGCTGCTTTTGACTACAAGAAAAATTTCCACCCTGAAACAGGGTTGCTACTAAAAGGCTAGGAGGGGCAAAATAAGGCATGCAGAGGTAGAAAATTTGAAGAGAAGGTCCAGACACGTTGGTGTCTTACTGTGGAAGGTCTGAGAGCCAGCAAATCGCTGCTCCCATCCGCCAACCCCAATGTGAAAATGAGAACTGTGTCAAAGGAAGCGGCCCCGCTGGCACGCGTTGGTATCAATCATGCTCGTCTAGCCCCCTTTATCGCCTCTAAAGAGTCGACTTGCTCTTTCCCAGGACTCCTAGGCCCTGCACAGGCCGAGTGAACCCCTCTCTCGAACCTTGCCGAAGCGCACAACTCCAGGTAAATCCGCTTAGTAGCCGTTCATGGTCATCCTCTGCGAATTCCTGCTCAGCTCCCTGTCGGCAGCAGGAGAGATGGGCCTTGAGCCACCGCCGTGGCCAACAGCGCTAGACTCCTTGAGCGCAAGCAGCTGCTTCGCACGGAAAGACTCGTAGTGGATCTGGGACGTCGTCTCAATCAGGTCCTGCAAGTGGGTGCGGGTGAGGAAGTCGCGCAGGGCAACAAATTCGCAGTGGGTCTCGTCCTCGACTGTTGCTGGTTAGCACAAAATTCTCTTCGGCGTCAATTGCTGCCACCCACCGTTGATAACACCCCAGCGGTTCTGGCGGCCGCGAACCTGTTGGCCGCCAACAACAATGGTCTTCTCAGACCCAACAACGGCGAAGGGGATTTGTTCCTGGATCGCAGATCAGTAATCGCAGCCCCAGTTGAGCATTCCTATGCGAACCTTGATGGTGTCCTTCAGGGCAACCTCTTCCGTATCGTCCTCCTCGTTGTCGTAGGGGTACATCTTAAGGTTGTGGAAAGCGAACTCCTCCTTGATCCTGGCCTTGAACTCGGCGCGCTCCTCGAGGGTGAGGGAGTCGCTCTTGGCAATAACCGGGACGACGTTCACGAATTCGCTCAGCTTCTTGAGCACGACAATGTCAATGGGCTTGAGGGCGTGGCCGGAGGGCTGGATGAAAAACAGGCAACAGTGAATGCGCGTGTCCTGGAGGTAGCGCTCGCGCTGCGCGGTCAACTCCTTGCGGAGATAGGCCGAGTGCTGGTCCTTGATGTACTTGACAATGGGGTCCCAGCAGCGGTCGTTGTTGATCAGGTCACCGTAGCCGGGAGTGTCGACGATGTTTAGGCGCAGTCGCACACCGTTTTCCTCGATGACGTGGGAAACGGCCTGGATCTCGGTGGTGCTGCGGACGGGCTCTTCGGGAGCCAGGCGACCCTTGCTGTCGATAAGGTGCGAGGCGAAGATGGTGTTGATCAGGGTCGATTTGCCAAGACCCGTCTGGCCTGCGGAGCAAGAGTCAGCGAAGCGCATACCGGGGGCGCTGGGAGCGGCGCGGCGTACCGACGCAGATGACGTTGAACTGGAAGCCGCGCTTCAACAGCTTCTTCTCGATCTGGTGGGTGATGCTGTCGAAGCCGACATGGCTCTTGGGGAAAATGGAGGGAGCTTGCTGGGTCTGGGGAGAGGCGGCCATTTTTTGCGGGGGGGCCTCGGCGAGGGCTTGCGGCGGGCTGCGAAGAGCGGGAGAGGGTAACGAACGACGTTGGGGTGGGCGGCGGGTGAGAATTGAAGGCTGAGGGACCGTGGAGTATGGAGACGCCTAAAGGGTCGCTGCGTGGGCAGGCGCGAGAGGGAAAGGGGCAGACGTGTCGGGCGACGGCCGCGCAGGGATGCCGCGCACGTGCCCGACCAATCGCTGGCCATGGCCATCTGCGCCGCCAAAAGTTCACTCACGCCCCGACCATCGCCATCTGAGCTGCCCGCAACCCGCCTCGCGCCCGCGCTCTTCACCGTCGCGCGTAGCCATGGCCGCCCTCCGCTCCATCGCCGCCAGCCCGCTGGCCGCCCTCGCGCCTGCCGCCAGCGCCCCGTCCCGCTCGCTGCCGCTGCTCCGCCGCCTGCAGCAGCGCCCGCTCCTGCCGCTCTCGCTGCGTCTGCCTGTCCCGGCCGTCGCTGCCATTGCCGGCGTTTCGGGGCTCCTGTCGGGCATCTGGGAGTCGATACTGCGCGCCGTGCCCAAGAAGAAGACATCGCACATGAAGAAGCGGCACAGGCAGATGGCCGGTAAGGCATTGAAGGACGTCACTGAGGTTGTCAAGTGCCCTGGCTGCGGCAGGCCCAAGCGCGCTCACATCCTGTGCCCCTACTGTGTGCAGTGTACGTACCATACTCTGACAATGGCGGGCCGGGAGGCTGACCGTAATCGCAGCGATCCAGCACTGGTTGAAGGGCAACGAGGACTATGTCTCGAAGGAATGAGGCATTCCATGCCGAAGGAGAGTGGATCTGCTGCAAGGGCTGGGATGGCATTGACGGCGCTGATGGCATTGGGCTGGTGTTTTGGGATATCCCGCGCGTTTGCACGCGTAAGAAAATCACGTCTGGCGGAGTTTGCCAGTGCGCACCGAGATTTTTGTACAGCTATGTGTATTGAGAGTCATCATGAGCAATTGGACAAGTGAATGCGCCGATGCCGCGGCGCGGGTGTGCGAGAGGGCGAGAGGGCAAGAGCGTCACGTTTCGTGCTCCCCGCTATGACATCGTCGAGCTCAAAACGCGTCTCCCGCCATACGCGAGACACCCCGCTACTGTGACCACCCACCCGTGCACACGACTCCCGCAGTCATGGTGTGTCCCGTCCTCTCTGCTCTGGAACCATGCGAACTGACCGACTCCCCTGCAGTCGAAACAATACCTCACCCTCCACACGGTCGACGACGGTACCGTCTTCCTCGCCGCACCTAGCATCTCCCAGCGCTAACCTCTCGCAGCCCATCCTACCGACATCTTTGCCATTGCTCCCACCAAAACTGGCCTGCTGTCCGCCTCTGGCTCCTCGAGCATCCGCGTCTATTCCACCACCGAGCCCGAGTTCCCGCTGACTCAAACCATACAAGACGCACATAAAATCGGCTGCCACCACATAGCAACCTCTGCAAATGGCCAAAAGGCTGCAAGCGCTGGGTTTGGTGGTGAGGTGAAGCTCTGGGCCTTGGCTGAAGATGGCAGCTGGACGGCCGAGGGCTCTATTGTGGGTTTGTGCTCTCCTTCCAACACCTCCCTGGGCCCTCTTGTGCGTACGCTGACACGGCTTGAACATAGACGGAAGCAAAGCTGGCGAAGTCTGGGCCATCTCGCTAAGTGAGGACGGCACGTATCTTGCAAGCACAACGCATGACGGACGCATCAATGTTTGGCAGACGTCCTCGAGAGAAAAGATCAGAGAATTCGAGACAAAGGGTAGCTTCGGAAACTGCATCCACCTCGTACGCCTTGGGTTGCCCTATGTGCCGTTCCTTTCTTGTGTGCTGACTGGATACTCACAGAGCGTCGACGGCCGCTTCACTGCGTCTGGCCACGAGAACGGAAGCATATATGTCTTCAACAACGAGACTGGTCGCCTGCTGCATTCGCTACCTGGTGTGCTAACGATGATGTTCGAAATGTCAATGGCACGTTGCTGACTACGTCACAGGTCTGATCAAGCCAATTAGGGCCCTGGCCTTCTCCCCGGGATGCAAGCTATTGGCTGCTGCTGGTGATGCTCGAACAATCGCATTGTACGATGTCAGCTCAGGAGAGCAGGTGGCAAACCTCTCAGGCCATGCTGCCTGGATCATGAGTCTTGACTGGAATGACACGGGCGAATACTTGCTCACTGGGTGGGTCTTTTTCAAGATTCGTTTGTTGCAGCATGAACTCACGATTTTGTGTAGGTCTTTCGATGGGAAGGCCAAAATATGGTCGATAGAGACCAAGACGTGCGTGGCTACCCATTCTGAGTCAGATAAGACATTGTGGTCGGTCAAGTGGTTGCCAAAGACTCACCGCGCTGAAATGTTTGCCGTTGCTGGTGCCGGCAAGAGCATCTCCTTCTACAGGGAAGCCAGTGGCAGCTGAGCATACCTTACTGCAACTTTCGCAGTCAGAGATATGCAGATACGGCCAGAGCACCATTCATATGGTACTTAAGAATATGGAGAACAGGGCCTTTAAGCTCCCAAAAAAATAAAAATCTTGTTAATATCGTCATTCTCGGCTGGGCGAGACATACATAGCGCTGAAAACCGAGGAGGCGCTGGCTGAACGGAGATGAATTCCAATTGATACCTGTGTGCTCTTATATGGCGCTTTCGCGTATAGTCATTACAGTTCTTGTAGCTAGCTCCGCATGTGGAAAGCAGCTTATGGTCAAAGCAAAGGAAGCCCACACAAGAGAAATACCCAAGTTCTTACCACTAGTTGCTACTACAAAGAAATTGTCTGTTAACACATAGCATCTCATCCGAAGATTCACACATACTAACAGACAGATCGGGGTATTGCTATGCGTAGGATGACCCGATCCAGACCTTGCTCCCCAGCTCAGATGAATTCACCCACAAGACATTGAATTCAGAACTACATGTGCCGGAGAAAACTTATATCTATGCAACCTAGGCTTGCATCAGGGAGCCGTCTGGACACGTGCATATTCCTGTCACAGTGTCAGTTCGCAGCCATGCGACACCAGATTCGCAGTGGTAACGATCTAGTTGTCAAGCCAGCATTAATCTCCTTCGACTTCCTTGCCGGTGGTCTAGGGAACCCTTGGCTAAAGAGAGCGGGGTCTTTCTGCGACATCTCCGACACCGCATTCGACGCATGCTTCGAATGTGTAACAAAATGATTCACGTAGATGCCAGATCGAAGAAACGAATTGACGGGTGAGCTTTCAAGATCGTCTTGACCTCAAACGGAGCCCACGGCCGCGAGTCCAAGGAAAAGGGTCCGATCACTTTTTCGTAGCAAGTCTGTACCTAGTCGTGTGAAAGGAGCAATATGAGACGCCGGGATGGAGCTAAGAATATAGTCGACGCGCCGTTTATCACGACTCCCGGTGGAGAGCCGAAACGGATGTCGCCTCCATGATGGTCCCACAGTTGTGATGGAATGACGGGATGGAGGAGCGCCAGGCAACGACATATTGCGGGCTCACATTCGTCCGCCTCTGCGTTAGCGCCGACGGTCCCAGCTGGCCTTATCAAAACACTGGCAGTCTCGTACGTCACTACTACTATCACTGATAAGGCATTTTCGGCACAGTGCAGAATACCACAAACCCCAGATGCTGAACTCGGCCAAGAAATCCCTGAATGCATAGACCAGTCTCCGCTCAAAGCTGGAGATGAGTAGGTATGTGCATTTCAACTTTTCGTTGTTGAGAACATGTGAGAGGGAGCGTAGCCTCGTTGCTAAGCTGGCTCAGTATTGATGATTCTGAAACGGATTCGCGTGCAATTACAAAAGTGGGGACATCAAGTTAGACGCTCATATTGACGTAGATATACGTAGGGGGCACGGAAACGAAAGAGGAGCATGCCGTCCCCTAATCGGAATAGCAAAGGATATGGCTCCGTTAGGCCGAGCATGCTCGTTTCTTGGACATCTACTGGCCATGTGAGATCATCAAACACCTGCGCCGTCAAGATAAGGGGTTTTATTGGGAACGGGAAGCGTACTTGGCTATGGCTTTTGCAGTATATTCGCCGTTCCATCGGGAGTATCCGCCTTAGCGTGCCCACATTTCGCTTCCAGGGTCCAGAGGAGCGCAGGTCTGCAAGATAACGGCATATCGGGTCCGAAGCAGGAACAGGCACGACACGCGTAATTTGTCCCGACAAGGGACGGAACGGGCTGCGACGCCGTGGTGCAGACCCCGTGCACCGAACTCGGCGTCTTGCCGTCGCCGAATCCTACATACTCAAGCAGCACTGTGGGCTCCAAAGACACGCAGCTTGTTTTGTCCCACTGCTCCTCCGTTGCTGGGTCGGCTGTCACTGCAGCTAGCAGGGCAGATCTCTATGGATCCTGCGGGAGCGAGTGCTAGCCTCTGGAGCATCAAAGCACGATCGCGCGCATCTGAGCACCTTTGCTCCAGAGCTTGCCGCACGTGGACGGGCGGCTGACTCATGCTGGGAGCGCGTGGCATCCCTAGTATCCGCGATTGGGCGTTGATGTCGTGGCCGCAGTCTCTACTGTATTCTCAGGGTAGCGCTATTGCTTTGCGCGCCTCGAGGGCTGGCGTCCTTCGTGCGAGACGCTCCACGCACGACGGACTACTAGCGTGCCAGAGACGTGGATCAAGTCGAATCCGACCAGAGGACGCTAATCTACGACTTACGAGGGGAAGATCAAAAGAGACTGAGATTGCGGTGTGTAAGAGAAAGGGACACACCATGGTGCAGCGAGGCACGGGTGCGCCATGTCGAGGAACGCTACAGCGCAGGAAGCGATCCACCAAGGTACATGCGGATGCTCAGGCAGGGCTGAACGCAGGGCCATCGAATCCCCCGCAAGATGTCGTGGCCGGCGACGGTCCAGACTCGACGATCGATCTGTCCGACATCGAGTCGGTCGTACACGGACGCGGGCCTACGATGTGTGGTGTGCTGACAGCAATTACGTGATGCATGGGCTCTGCGCCTCCGTTGCGGTCCCTGAGGGAGTCTGGCTAGAAGCACGCGAAGCTCCCACTGACGTGTTTGTGGAGAGATGACGATATTCAAAGGGCGCATGGCGTCGAAAATTCCGGACCAGCGCACAGAGAGGGGCGCCGAGCATAGGAGAAAACATAAAAAGAATGGAGCAGCGAGAGGGCTAGGCCCGGGCAATGCGTCGTCGCTCGACCAGCTGTGAGCAGTGAGAAAGTCCTCCGAGGCAAGCCGAGACTTCTGGAAGCAGCATCACCGGCGCCACATCGACAGCGTTCCCGCCGCACGGCCCGGGGAAGGCCCTTCAGATGCCGCATACGCGCAGGCGTGCGAGCAGAGTAGTGATCGGGGAAGTGTTGTACAATTTTTTTTTTTCACGGGTGGCCATGGCGCTCTGACCGGTCACGCCAGCGCCGCCTCGAAGCCTATACGTGTACCATTACCCGTGCTCCGGGGAAGCGGGCGGGCGGGCAGAGCAGCATGTCCTGCGAAATATGAATCAGGCACCGTGGAGTGAGATTGTGGAGAGAGGGCGCCTCCATCTCAGGGGGATCTCCCAGGTACCGGTGAAGACGCTGGCGAGCGATGCCCAAGGGCGTGCGCGAAGAACACGGCTGTGTGCGACTCGTCCTGCGGGCTCGCTCGTCGGCGCAGAAGCGTACAGTCGAGGCCGCAATGCTGGGGCGCGGCCAGGGGCGGGCGGAGCAGGGCAGACGTCGCGGGTTGCGGCAGGCAGGGTGGCAGGCTTGATTATTGCGCGGCGAGGCGGGTGCTGGCGCTGCTGTGTTTCTGAGCGTTTCCGGGGCCCTTGGGCGGTGTGTGCCTCGACGCAGAGGCCGAGAGGTAGGACGTCCCGGGGTTGCACAAGGGTTTTGTGAAATGTGCAGTGGGAGCGGTGGGGCGTGTTGGGCGTTTGTTCAGCAAGGACAGCGCGTGCTCCCGTGCCCTGCAACTTATGTAATCCCCACAGGCAGTGTAGGGCTAATGTCGGGGAAGCGGTGAGGAACGCGGCGGGCGGCAGCACTGGTTCCAGAACGGCGGGCGCTTGCGAGGAACGCTCCACTTCTGCGATGCTGGGCTGGTGTTGAGTGCTGAGAGCGACATCGGGGAGCTCGCTGGCGTGCCACGGTGCCGTGCCGATCGCAGATCTGCTGGAGATTTGAGCCTCTCCCTTCACGCCTTCGCGCTGCCGCCAGCATGCCGGCGCGGGCAGGAGAGCAGCGCGACATGCGACATGGCGCTGGCCGCACCCGGCGGTGGTGAAGCCTGAGCTCTCTCCTGCAGCTGCGACTCGGGACGGGCGCGGGCCAGTCCGGGAGGCGGGACGCCGGGCGGCGGGCAGCGGGCGGCGGGCTCGGGGCTTGGGGTCGCCGGGGCAGCAGCACGCGTCCCGACGGAGGGGAGGGGCGGCGAGATGAAACGCGCACCGTGGTGGAGGAGGTGGTGGGTGATGGGTGCCCGGTGGGTGGTGGGTGGTGGGTGGTGTGAGCTCGGGTGCTGCCAGGCCCGCCGCAGTGGGAGTTGGCCTTGGTGCTGCTTGGTGCTGCTGCTTGGTCGCGCCGGCCCGCTTCCACCACCTTCAGCTCTGGGCCGCCCCTTTTGTGGGGTCTGCCGCGATCCTCGATGTGCGCGCGGTGGGGACGCGGCGGGCGCCGGCCTGACGTCGACTGGCTGGGTGTGCAGTCATCAGTCACCGGACTGCCGTCCAGCTGCCGTCCAGCTGCCCTCCACCACCGCGTCGACGCGTGCTGCTCGCTCTTGTCGCCGCTTATCTCAGGCCAATCGCTGCTGCCCGCTTCTCGCGCAACCCCCTCGCGCTGCCGCAGCCCACCACCACCACCACCATCACCACCCTGCTGATGATGATGATGATGATGATGTGCCGATGTGGGGGACGGGGCTCCATCGCGCTTGACCCCTCGCCATCGCGCGCCTTGGCGTCGGCCGCTACTCCGGGCGGGCCTGATGAGGCTTCCCCCGCTGGGGACTCCGCTTTCATCGTAGACTGTGCGTCGCGCAGCCCGGCCTCAGGCACAGTGCCGAGGTCAGATGAGTGGCTGCCATGGCTGCCATGGCTGCCAGGTACCCACCAAGGGTCACAAACTGCCTGCTTCACGCCACCCTCACGTTGCCATGGCCAGAGCCAGAGCAGTCACCCGAGATGCAAACTTTGGGACCGTCTTTGACGTGTTCTGATCGTTTTCATTCAGCGGCCCTCAGCCCGCTGTGCGCCTACATACAGCCATGCGCTGTATAGCGCGCTCCGGCACGTCTTTGCCGGAGAGGTGGAGAAGAGAGAAGTTTACCGACGACATGGACAAGCGCTGCAAATGATTCCCCAGACCCAGCCCGTCCCATGCATCCCAAGCACCGGTCCCAATGTTCAGCATCACACCTGCACCTTGCTAATCCCAAAGCAAACCGCCG